CTTCCAATGATTTTATGAAATCACCTACCGACTGAACGCAATTCATCAAGCTTTAAATCATGTCCAAACAATCTAAGCGTGCGATCAAAGGCCAAGATGCCTCTGAGGGAAACTCTTTTCTGAGTGCTACTCCTATCACCGGCAGTGCCAATTCTAATGCTACCTCTGAAGCTACCCCCTCTGTTTCAATGACTGAAGCTCTGCTAAAGAGTATTTCAGCGGCAGTGGCAGAAGAGGGAAAACGCATCCTATTGTCCGTGAATGAATCCTTTGGGAAACTCGAGGCCAAGGTGGATAACATGATGAAGCGTATCGATGATATCGCTGTAACCACCGCGGCACTTGCTACGAGACAAGCGGAGGCTGAAACGCGTATTTCACACTTGGAGGATGGCATAGCTCCGATTAAAAAGCATCTAGATTCACTGTTGATCACTAATAAAGAGCTGAGAGACAAAGTAATTGAACTGGAATGTCGTCAAAGGCGCAAAAACATTCGGATACTAAATCTGAAAGAGTCCACTGAGGGAAATGACCCGACTGTGTTTTTTGAGGCGTTCATTCCTAAACTACTGCAGCTACCTGTTACAACTATACCCATTGACCGTGCCCATCGGGGCTTTGGAATACCTGAGGACGGACGCCCGCGCGCTGTGGTCTTGAAACTTCAACGCTCCAGAGATGTGGCGATGGTAATGTCAGCGGTGAAGCGCCAGGGGAATCCCCAGCATGAGGGCCGTACTTTGCGGCTCGTACCAGACACTCCACCTGAAGTCCGGGCTGCTAGACGGGCATTCAACACGGTCTGTGCGGAGCTTATTAAACTGGACATCAGGTTTAGAATGGCCTATCCAGCAATCCTGTCCTTCAAGGCTAACGGCGGGCAAAAGTCTTTCAAAGATCCCAACAAGGCTGAAGCATTCCTCTCATCCCTCACGTGACTGGTAAAGTAACTGTACTTGAGTACTATGAGTGCTACAACCCTTTGACTCTTGTGATTTTTCAAGCCTGTCAACGCGGGTTACGGGACACATTTTCCCCCAAAGGACAACTACTTTTGGTGTTAAGTCTCTGTACTGGGAGAGTGGAATGCCAGAAATGTTTCGATGGTAGTAATCCAAACTCTTTTGTTTTGTTTAATTATATGTCTATATTTTTTCTTCCTTATTTCACTGGGTGTTTTGAAAAAATGGATATGGTCCTATGCTTGATATGTGGAAGTAAAGTATATAATCTGAAATATGTCATAATAAAATTATGGGAATAATTGACATAAATTGCTGTAGTGAATTAGAGAAATTTGAGCACTACCTTCGTGCCTCTACCAGTATTACCTGTGACTATTATGACGTTGAGCAACTAAAACAAATGAACAACTCTTCATTCTCTTTAATGCACCTAAATATTAGAAGTCTAAAAAAGCATTATGATGAACTTGTTTCGTTACTTGCCAGTACAGGCATTAACTTTGATATAATTGGGTGCTGTGAAACTTGGATGAATGAACAATCATTTGAAGATATGTATAAATTAGATGGTTACTCTGGTCATTTTAGAAACAGACTGGGTAAAATTGGAGGAGGGGTATGCATTTATGTAAGCACTCAATATTCTGTAAAGGAACGAAATGATATCATGGTAGAGGATGGTTGCTCTGATTCTTTATTTCTAGAAGTAAAAACAAAAAAAGGCTCTATAATTATTGGAGTAGTATATCGACCACCTGATTCCAATTATGAAACATTTAGAGACCACTTCGATAACATGTTAAACTACATAAATATGATGAAGAAAAACTGTATTATCATGGGCGACTTTAACATAGACCGATCTAAAGAAGATTTAATAGGAACTGATTTCCAAAATACCCTCTGCTCCTCATCATTCTATCCCACTATTGATAAATACACCAGAGTTACAGAGAGAAGCAAGACCACTATAGACAATATAATAACAAACATCCAAAACACTGGATGCAAGTCAGGTGTAATATATTCTGATATCTCTGATAATTTTCCTGTTGCTCTGTTCACAAACTGGATCAATAGAGTACCAGATTCATGTTCAGAGAGGAAGATAAAAGTTCTAAATAGCAAAACCCTCGTTAATCTCTCCCTACACCTCAAAAACAAAACCTGGGATGAATTTTATAACATTTCAAACCCTAACAAGGCCTATAATTCCTTAATCAATGAAATTAATGATTCCATCAATGTAACCATTCCAGAGAAATCTTTAAAACATAGTAAAAGAGGGCATCCATGGATCACAAATGGAATCTTAAAGTCAATCCGGCAAAAAAATAAACTCTATAAGGAATATAAAAGAAATCCAAATTGCTCTAATAAAGATCGATATACAAAATACAAGAACAAATTAACAAGTTTAATACGAGTCAGTAAAGCTAATTATTTTGCAAAAAGACTTAAATCAATCTCAGGGGATCAGAAGGGGTCTTGGAAGGTGCTGAATGAGGTGCTCGGACGCAACAAAAAAGCACCAGTCCTCCCTGACGCCGGAGCATCAACTGAGTTTAAAAGTAATACCAAGAATGACTCTTTGCCCAATGCTTTTAATGCGTTTTTTTCATCAGTTGGAAGAGAGCTGTCCCAACAAATCTGCCCACCAGGGGGTGTAAATTATAAGGATTTTTTGACAAACAATTACTCTAGCTCCTGCTACCTCAGACCTACCTGCAAAATGGAAGTAACCAATATAATAAATAAAATGAAATGTTCATATACAGCTCGTGCTGATGGCATTTGCAGCAAAATCTTGAAAGCCATTGTGAATGAAATAGCTGAACCAGTGACTCATATAATTAATTTATCTTTACAACAAGGCATTGTCCCTGAACAAACTAAGGTGGCGAAAATAATACCTATATATAAGTCAGGGGACAAAAATGACATACACAACTACAGACCCATATCTATTCTGCCCACCCTGTCCAAAATTTTGGAACGAGTAGTTTATGATAGATTACTAGATTATTTAAACAAACACAACATACTGGATCCTTCACAATATGGCTTCAGGAAAAGCAGCAGCACGTATATGGCCATATTAGATCTAGTTGAAAAAATCAACAATGCTCTTGAGGGTAGAGAAATTGGTGTTGGGGTTTTTCTCGACCTTTCCAAAGCATTTGACTCGATTGACTTTCAAGTCTTACTTGGTAAACTCTCTCACTATGGCGTCCGGGGTGTAGCTCTCCAGTGGTTTAGGGATTATGTCTATGGTAGACAACAGTACGTGAACATAGATGGGTCTGACTCTCAACTGGAAAACATAACATTTGGTGTTCCCCGGGGATCTATACTAGGGCCCCTATTATTTATTATCTACATTAATGATTTTGGAAATTCTTGTGATATTCATCGAATACTTTTTGCAGATGACACAAATTTGTTTATGTCGCATAAACGCATCGATCACCTTGAAAACTCCCTAAATGAGCAACTCATCAAAGTAAACAACTGGTTCAGATGCAATAAATTGTCACTTAATCTCAACAAGACTTCTTATATGATCTTTCACTCAAATAGTCATTTGTACCACGACCCAAATATTAATATAACCATTGATAGTAAAACCATTAATAAAGTTGAAGTTATAAAATTCTTAGGAATCCATATAGATCAATTTACAAATTTGAAAAAGCATCTTGATGAGCTTGTTAAAAAATTGTCAAAAATTGTAGGTTTATTGTTTAAAGTGAGACAGTTTCTTCCCTTAGAAGCTTTACTGTCCTTGTATAGATCTCTGTTTGAGCCTCATTTGAATTACTGTAATATCATATGGAATAATACCTACCCCACGTACATGTCTAAACTTCAAATATTACAAAAGAAAGCCATAAGAGCACTTTCTTGGTCCTTGGGTCATGCTCCCACAGATGTTCTCTTCCATAGATATGGTCTATTGAAGTTGCCTGAAGTTAATCTCTACCATAATGCGTGCACAATGTATAGTGTGGTTAACAAGTTAAATGTTCGATTGTGTGAACTCATTCCATTATATTTACCATCACACCAACATAATACTAGGAACAAACTGCTGCCTAAAGGGAAATACAGAAAATTAAAATGCACAAGTTTTAGTATTTGCCATAAAGGCCCAACTACATGGAATGAGTTGGATAGTAACCTAAAGCAATGTGCCACATTATCCAAATTTAAGAGGGAACTGAAGGTTCATCTACTGGGGAAGTATGTGACAGCATGAAAGCGTTGAAGCACAAAGAGTCTTGAACAACTCTCTACTTTGTATCTGTTTGAGGCGAGAGGTAGATCTCTCTTTCACAGCCATGATCTCAGGGCTGGCAGAAGTTACCCTACAGTAAACTCCAGCTGCAAACACTTACAACTATATATTAGGAATACATTAAATATTATTCTTATCATTACTATATAATTATTATTGGTAGCGGAGATGAGCATTCAGCAGCTTCGCCTGCCAAAGTGTTCTGTACTTCCTTGAAGTGTGGTGAAGATGTTATTATTTCTTATTCTTTATTTATCTATTATTGTTATTGATTTAGGATTATTATCTTTATTGTCATTATTATTATTATTATTACTTATGTATTCTGGGAGCACTAGTTACTTTTTATTATTATTACTATTATTTATTATTTATTATTTTTATTTTTATTATTATTTATATTATGATGACTGTATGTTTGACTGTAGGTTTGTGACTGTGGTGGTGGTGGTGGTGGTGGTGAGATGGACCCCTAATGTAAAAGCTTCTGCTTCTGGGAGTTCCATTTTCACAATGTAACACATGTACTTTTAGGGACTGTGTGAATTGTGAATAAACTAAACTAAACTAAAAAAAAAAATGCCCAAAGGGCCGATGCCCATATTTGGGCCGGTCTGTCTGCCACATACAAAACACATGTTTATGAGAAGTGTAAATCCGTTTAGAATTGTTGGAGCGGGGCGCGCGTATCCGCGGGGCACCTGCTGTATGTACTCGAACGGGATTCCACCACCTCAGCGGCCGCAGTGTTCCGGGGCATCTGCGGCCGCTTTGTAATGAGCAGCTTCTGCGTCCAGCGGCTGTGAGCGTCCAGCGGCTGTGAGCGTCCAGAGGCTGTGAGAGGCTGTGAGCGTCCAGCGGCTGTGAGAGGCTGTGAGCGTCCAGCGGCTGCGAGAGGCTGTGAGCGTCCAGAGGCTGTGAGAGGCTGTGAGAGGCTGTGAGAGGCTGTGAGCGTCCAGCGGCTGTGAGAGGCTGTGAGAGGCTGTGAGCGTCCAGAGGCTGTGAGAGGCTGTGAGCGTCCAGCGACTGCGAGAGGCTGTGAGCGTCCAGCGGCTGTGAGAGGCTGTGAGCGTCCAGCGTCTGTGAGCGTCCAGAGGCTGTGAGCGTCCAGCGGCTGCGAGAGGCTGTGAGCGTCCAGCGTCTGTGAGCGTCCAGAGGCTGTGAGCGTCCAGCGGCTGTGAGAGGCTGTGAGCGTCCAGCGGCTGTGAGAGGCTGTGAGAGGCTGTGAGCGTCCAGCGTCTGTGAGCGTCCAGAGGCTGTGAGCGTCCAGCGGCTGCGAGAGGCTGTGAGCGTCCAGCGTCTGTGAGCGTCCAGAGGCTGTGAGCGTCCAGCGGCTGTGAGAGGCTGTGAGCGTCCAGCGGCTGTGAGAGGCTGTGAGAGGCTGTGAGCGTCCAGCGGCTGTGAGAGGCTGCGAGAGGCTGTGAGCGTCCAGAGGCTGTGAGAGGCTGTGAGCGTCCAGCGGCTGCGAGAGGCTGTGAGCGTCCAGAGGCTGTGAGAGGCTGTGAGCGTCCAGCGGCTGTGAGAGGCTGTGAGCGTCCAGCGTCTGTGAGCGTCCAGAGGCTGTGAGCGTCCAGCGGCTGCGAGAGGCTGTGAGCGTCCAGCGTCTGTGAGCGTCCAGAGGCTGTGAGCGTCCAGCGGCTGTGAGAGGCTGTGAGCGTCCAGCGGCTGTGAGAGGCTGTGAGAGGCTGTGAGCGTCCAGCGGCTGTGAGCGTCCAGCGGCTGTGAGCGTCCAGCGGCTGTGAGCGGCTGTGAGCGTCCAGCGGCTGTGAGCGTCCAGCGGCTGTGAGCGTCCAGCGGCTGCGAGAGGCTGTGAGCGTCCAGCGGCTGTGAGAGGCTGTGAGAGGCTGTGAGCGTCCAGAGGCTGTGAGCGTCCAGCGGCTGTGAGCGTCCAGCGGCTGTGAGCGTCCAGCGGCTGTGAGCGGCTGTGAGCGTCCAGCGGCTGTGAGCGTCCAGCGGCTGTGAGCGTCCAGCGGCTGCGAGAGGCTGTGAGCGTCCAGCGGCTGTGAGAGGCTGTGAGAGGCTGTGAGCGTCCAGAGGCTGTGAGCGTCCAGCGGCTGTGAGCGTCCAGCGGCTGTGAGCGTCCAGCGGCTGTGAGCGGCTGTGAGCGTCCAGCGGCTGTGAGCGTCCAGCGGCTGTGAGCGTCCAGCGGCTGCGAGAGGCTGTGAGCGTCCAGCGGCTGTGAGCGTCCAGCGGCTGTGAGAGGCTGTGAGAGGCTGTGAGCGTCCAGCGGCTGTGAGCGTCCAGCGGCTGTGAGCGTCCAGCGGCTGCGAGAGGCTGTGAGCGTCCAGCGGCTGTGAGCGTCCAGCGGCTGTGAGCGTCCAGCGGCTGTGAGCGGCTGTGAGCGTCCAGCGGCTGTGAGAGGCTGTGAGAGGCTGTGAGCGTCCAGCGGCTGCGAGAGGCTGTGAGCGGCTGTGAGCGTCCAGCGGCTGTGAGAGGCTGTGAGCGTCCAGCGGCTGCGAGCGTCCAGCGGCTGCGAGAGGCTGTGAGAGGCTGTGAGCGTCCAGCGGCTGTGAGCGTCCAGCGGCTGCGAGCGTCCAGCGGCTGTGAGAGGCTGTGAGCGTCCAGCGGCTGTGAGAGGCTGTGAGCGTCCAGCGGCTGTGAGAGGCTGTGAGCGTCCAGAGGCTGTGAGAGGCTGTGAGAGGCTGTGAGAGGCTGTGAGAGGCTGTGAGCGTCCAGCGGCTGTGAGCGTCCAGCGGCTGTGAGAGACTGTGAGCGTCCAGAGGCTGTGAGAGGCTGTGAGCGTCCAGAGGCTGTGAGAGGCTGTGAGCGTCCAGCGGCTGTGAGAGGCTGTGAGCGTCCAGAGGCTGTGAGCGGCTGTGAGCGTCCAGCGGCTGCGAGAGGCTGTGAGAGACTGTGAGCGTCCAGCGGCTGTGAGAGGCTGTGAGCGTCCAGCGGCTGCGAGAGGCTGTGAGAGGCTGTGAGCGGCTGTGAGAGACTGTGAGCGTCCAGCGGCTGCGAGAGGCTGTGAGAGGCTGTGAGAGGCTGTGAGAGACTGTGAGCGTCCAGCGGCTGTGAGAGGCTGTGAGCGTCCAGCGGCTGCGAGAGGCTGTGAGCGTCCAGCGGCTGTGAGCGTCCAGCGGCTGCGAGCGTCCAGCGGCTGTGAGAGGCTGTGAGAGGCTGTGAGCGTCCAGCGGCTGTGAGCGTCCAGCGGCTGTGAGAGGCTGTGAGCGTCCAGCGGCTGTGAGCGTCCAGCGGCTGTGAGAGGCTGTGAGAGGCTGTGAGCGTCCAGCGGCTGTGAGCGTCCAGCGGCTGTGAGAGGCTGTGAGCGTCCAGCGGCTGTGAGCGTCCAGCGGCTGTGAGAGGCTGTGAGAGGCTGTGAGCGTCCAGCGGCTGCGAGAGGCTGTGAGCGTCCAGCGGCTGTGAGCGGCTGTGAGCGTCCAGCGGCTGTGAGAGGCTGTGAGCGTCCAGCGGCTGTGAGAGGCTGTGAGCGTCCAGCGGCTGTGAGCGTCCAGCGGCTGTGAGAGGCTGTGAGAGGCTGTGAGAGGCTGTGAGAGGCTGTGAGAGGCTGTGAGAGGCTGTGAGAGGCTGTGAGCGTCCAGCGTCTGCGAGAGGCTGTGAGCGTCCAGCGTCTGTGAGCGTCCAGAGGCTGTGAGCGTCCAGCGGCTGTGAGCGTCCAGCGGCTGCGAGAGGCTGTGAGCGTCCAGCGTCTGTGAGCGTCCAGAGGCTGTGAGCGTCCAGCGGCTGTGAGCGTCCAGCGGCTGCGAGAGGGCTGTGAGCGTCCAGCGGCTGTGAGCGTCCAGAGGCTGTGAGCGTCCAGAGGCTGTGAGCGTCCAGAGGCTGTGAGCGTCCAGCGGCTGTGAGAGGCTGTGAGCGTCCAGCGGCTGTGAGCGTCCAGCGGCTGTGAGCGTCCAGCGGCTGTGAGCGTCCAGCGGCTGTGAGCGGCTGTGAGCGTCCAGCGGCTGTGAGCGTCCAGCGGCTGTGAGCGTCCAGCGGCTGCGAGAGGCTGTGAGCGTCCAGCGGCTGTGAGCGTCCAGCGGCTGCGAGAGGCTGTGAGCGTCCAGCGGCTGTGAGAGGCTGTGAGAGGCTGTGAGCGTCCAGCGGCTGTGAGAGGCTGTGAGAGGCTGTGAGAGGCTGTGAGCGTCCAGAGGCTGTGAGCGTCCAGCGGCTGTGAGCGTCCAGCGGCTGTGAGCGTCCAGCGGCTGTGAGCGTCCAGCGGCTGTGAGCGGCTGTGAGCGTCCAGCGGCTGTGAGCGTCCAGCGGCTGTGAGCGTCCAGCGGCTGCAAGAGGCTGTGAGCGTCCAGCGGCTGTGAGCGTCCAGCGGCTGTGAGCGTCCAGCGGCTGCGAGAGGCTGTGAGCGTCCAGCGGCTGTGAGCGTCCAGCGGCTGTGAGAGGCTGTGAGAGGCTGTGAGAGGCTGTGAGCGTCCAGCGGCTGTGAGCGTCCAGCGGCTGCGAGAGGCTGTGAGCGTCCAGCGGCTGTGAGCGTCCAGCGGCTGTGAGCGTCCAGCGGCTGTGAGAGGCTGTGAGAGGCTGTGAGCGTCCAGCGGCTGTGAGAGGCTGTGAGAGGCTGTGAGCGTCCAGCGGCTGTGAGAGGCTGTGAGCGTCCAGCGGCTGTGAGAGGCTGTGAGAGGCTGTGAGAGGCTGTGAGCGTCCAGCGGCTGCGAGAGGCTGTGAGAGGCTGTGAGCGTCCAGCGGCTGTGAGAGGCTGTGAGCGTCCAGCGGCTGTGAGAGGCTGTGAGCGTCCAGCGGCTGCGAGAGGCTGTGAGAGGCTGTGAGAGGCTGTGAGAGGCTGTGAGCGTCCAGCGGCTGTGAGCGTCCAGCGGCTGTGAGAGGCTGTGAGAGGCTGTGAGCGTCCAGCGGCTGTGAGCGTCCAGCGGCTGTGAGAGGCTGTGAGCGTCCAGCGGCTGTGAGAGGCGTCCAGAGGCTGTGAGAGGCTGTGAGCGTCCAGAGGCTGTGAGAGGCTGTGAGCGTCCAGCGGCTGTGAGAGACTGTGAGCGTCCAGCGGCTGTGAGAGACTGTGAGCGTCCAGCGGCTGTGAGCGTCCAGCGGCTGCGAGAGGCTGTGAGCGTCCAGAGGCTGTGAGAGACTGTGAGCGTCCAGCGGCTGTGAGAGGCTGTGAGAGGCTGTGAGAGGCTGTGAGAGGCTGTGAGAGGCTGTGAGCGTCCAGCGGCTGTGAGCGTCCAGCGGCTGTGAGAGGCTGTGAGAGGCTGTGAGCGTCCAGCGGCTGCGAGAGGCTGTGAGCGTCCAGAGGCTGTGAGAGGCTGTGAGCGTCCAGCGGCTGTGAGCGGCTGTGAGAGGCTGTGAGCGTCCAGGAGGCTGTGAGAGGCTGTGAGCGTCCAGCGGCTGCGAGAGGCTGTGAGAGGCTGTGAGAGGCTGTGAGCGGCTGTGAGAGGCTGTGAGCGTCCAGAGGCTGTGAGAGGCTGTGAGCGTCCAGCGGCTGTGAGAGGCTGTGAGCGTCCAGAGGCTGTGAGCGGCTGTGAGCGTCCAGAGGCTGTGAGAGGCTGTGAGCGTCCAGCGGCTGTGAGAGGCTGTGAGCGTCCAGCGGCTGTGAGAGGCTGTGAGCGTCCAGCGGCTGTGAGAGGCTGTGAGCGTCCAGAGGCTGTGAGCGTCCAGCGGCTGTGAGCGTCCAGCGGCTGCGAGAGGCTGTGAGCGTCCAGCGTCTGTGAGCGTCCAGAGGCTGTGAGCGTCCAGAGGCTGTGAGCGTCCAGAGGCTGTGAGCGTCCAGCGGCTGTGAGAGGCTGTGAGCGTCCAGCGGCTGTGAGCGTCCAGCGGCTGCGAGAGGCTGTGAGCGTCCAGCGGCTGCGAGAGGCTGTGAGCGTCCAGCGGCTGTGAGCGTCCAGCGGCTGTGAGCGTCCAGCGGCTGCGAGAGGCTGTGAGCGTCCAGCGGCTGTGAGCGTCTAGCGGCTGTGAGCGTCCAGCGGCTGTGAGCGTCCAGCGGCTGTGAGCGGCTGTGAGCGTCCAGCGGCTGTGAGAGGCTGTGAGCGTCCAGCGGCTGTGAGAGGCTGTGAGCGTCCAGCGGCTGTGAGAGGCTGTGAGCGTCCAGCGTCTGTGAGCGTCCAGAGGCTGTGAGCGTCCAGCGGCTGCGAGAGGCTGTGAGCGTCCAGCGGCTGCGAGAGGCTGTGAGCGTCCAGCGGCTGTGAGCGTCCAGCGGCTGTGAGAGGCTGTGAGAGGCTGTGAGAGGCTGTGAGAGGCTGTGAGCGTCCAGCGTCTGCGAGAGGCTGTGAGCGTCCAGCGTCTGTGAGCGTCCAGAGGCTGTGAGCGTCCAGCGGCTGTGAGCGTCCAGCGGCTGCGAGAGGCTGTGAGCGTCCAGCGGCTGTGAGCGTCCAGAGGCTGTGAGCGTCCAGAGGCTGTGAGCGTCCAGAGGCTGTGAGCGTCCAGCGGCTGTGAGAGGCTGTGAGCGTCCAGCGGCTGTGAGCGTCCAGCGGCTGTGAGCGTCCAGCGGCTGTGAGCGTCCAGCGGCTGTGAGCGGCTGTGAGCGTCCAGCGGCTGTGAGCGTCCAGCGGCTGCGAGAGGCTGTGAGCGTCCAGCGGCTGTGAGCGTCCAGCGGCTGCGAGAGGCTGTGAGCGTCCAGCGGCTGTGAGCGTCCAGCGGCTGTGAGCGTCCAGCGGCTGCGAGAGGCTGTGAGCGTCCAGCGGCTGTGAGAGGCTGTGAGAGGCTGTGAGAGGCTGTGAGCGTCCAGAGGCTGTGAGCGTCCAGCGGCTGTGAGCGTCCAGCGGCTGTGAGCGTCCAGCGGCTGTGAGAGGCTGTGAGCGTCCAGCGGCTGTGAGCGTCCAGCGGCTGTGAGCGGCTGTGAGCGTCCAGCGGCTGTGAGCGTCCAGCGGCTGTGAGCGTCCAGCGGCTGTGAGCGTCCAGCGGCTGCGAGAGGCTGTGAGCGTCCAGCGGCTGTGAGCGTCCAGCGGCTGTGAGCGTCCAGCGGCTGCGAGAGGCTGTGAGCGTCCAGCGGCTGTGAGCGTCCAGCGGCTGTGAGAGGCTGTGAGAGGCTGTGAGAGGCTGTGAGCGTCCAGAGGCTGTGAGCGTCCAGCGGCTGTGAGCGTCCAGCGGCTGTGAGCGTCCAGCGGCTGTGAGCGTCCAGCGGCTGTGAGCGGCTGTGAGCGTCCAGCGGCTGTGAGCGTCCAGCGGCTGTGAGCGTCCAGCGGCTGCAAGAGGCTGTGAGCGTCCAGCGGCTGTGAGCGTCCAGCGGCTGTGAGCGTCCAGCGGCTGCGAGAGGCTGTGAGCGTCCAGCGGCTGTGAGCGTCCAGCGGCTGTGAGAGGCTGTGAGAGGCTGTGAGAGGCTGTGAGAGGCTGTGAGCGTCCAGCGGCTGTGAGCGTCCAGCGGCTGTGAGAGGCTGTGAGAGGCTGTGAGAGGCTGTGAGCGTCCAGCGGCTGCGAGAGGCTGTGAGCGTCCAGCGGCTGTGAGCGTCCAGCGGCTGTGAGCGTCCAGCGGCTGTGAGCGGCTGTGAGCGTCCAGCGGCTGTGAGAGGCTGTGAGAGGCTGTGAGCGTCCAGCGGCTGCGAGAGGCTGTGAGAGGCTGTGAGCGTCCAGCGGCTGTGAGAGGCTGTGAGAGGCTGTGAGAGGCTGTGAGCGTCCAGCGGCTGCGAGAGGCTGTGAGAGGCTGTGAGCGTCCAGCGGCTGTGAGAGGCTGTGAGAGGCTGTGAGAGGCTGTGAGCGTCCAGCGGCTGTGAGAGGCTGTGAGCGTCCAGCGGCTGCGAGAGGCTGTGAGCGTCCAGCGGCTGCGAGAGGCTGTGAGAGGCTGTGAGAGGCTGTGAGAGGCTGTGAGAGGCTGTGAGCGTCCAGCGGCTGTGAGAGACTGTGAGCGTCCAGAGGCTGTGAGAGGCTGTGAGCGTCCAGCGGCTGTGAGAGGCTGTGAGAGGCTGTGAGCGTCCAGCGGCTGCGAGCGTCCAGCGGCTGCGAGCGTCCAGCGGCTGTGAGCGTCCAGCGGCTGTGAGAGGCTGTGAGCGTCCAGCGGCTGCGAGAGGCTGTGAGCGTCCAGCGGCTGTGAGCGGCTGTGAGCGTCCAGCGGCTGCGAGAGGCTGTGAGAGGCTGTGAGAGGCTGTGAGAGGCTGTGAGAGGCTGTGAGCGTCCAGAGGCTGTGAGCGTCCAGAGGCTGTGAGCGTCCAGCGGCTGCGAGAGGCTGTGAGAGGCTGTGAGAGGCTGTGAGAGGCTGTGAGAGGCTGTGAGAGGCTGTGAGAGGCTGTGAGCGGCTGTGAGAGGCTGTGAGCGTCCAGCGGCTGTGAGAGGCTGTGAGCGTCCAGAGGCTGTGAGAGGCTGTGAGCGTCCAGAGGCTGTGAGAGGCTGTGAGCGTCCAGAGGCTGTGAGCGTCCAGAGGCTGTGAGAGGCTGTGAGCGTCCAGAGGCTGTGAGAGGCTGTGAGCGTCCAGCGGCTGTGAGAGGCTGTGAGCGTCCAGCGGCTGTGAGAGGCTGTGAGCGTCCAGAGGCTGTGAGAGGCTGTGAGCGTCCAGCCGCTGTGAGAGGCTGTGAGCGTCCAGAGGCTGTGAGAGGCTGTGAGCGGTCCAGCGGCTGTGAGAGGCTGTGAGCGTCCAGCGGCTGTGAGAGGCTGTGAGCGTCCAGCGGCTGTGAGAGGCTGTGAGCGTCCAGCAGCTGTGAGCGTCCAGCGGCTGCGAGAGGCTGTGAGCGTCCAGCGTCTGTGAGCGTCCAGAGGCTGTGAGCGTCCAGAGGCTGTGAGCGTCCAGAGGCTGTGAGCGTCCAGAGGCTGTGAGCGTCCAGCGGCTGTGAGAGGCTGTGAGCGTCCAGCGGCTGTGAGCGTCCAGAGGCTGTGAGCGTCCAGAGGCTGTGAGCGTCCAGAGGCTGTGAGCGTCCAGCGGCTGTGAGAGGCTGTGAGCGTCCAGCGGCTGTGAGCGTCCAGCGGCTGCGAGAGGCTGTGAGCGTCCAGCGGCTGTGAGCGTCCAGCGGCTGTGAGCGTCCAGCGGCTGCGAGAGGCTGTGAGCGTCCAGCGGCTGTGAGCGTCCAGCGGCTGTGAGCGTCCAGCGGCTGCGAGAGGCTGTGAGCGTCCAGCGGCTGTGAGCGTCCAGCGGCTGTGAGCGGCTGTGAGCGTCCAGCGGCTGTGAGAGGCTGTGAGAGGCTGTGAGCGTCCAGCGGCTGTGAGAGGCTGTGAGCGTCCAGCGGCTGTGAGCGGCTGTGAGCGTCCAGCGGCTGCGAGAGGCTGTGAGCGTCCAGCGGCTGCGAGAGGCTGTGAGAGGCTGTGAGCGTCCAGCGGCTGTGAGAGGCTGTGAGCGTCCAGCGGCTGTGAGCGGCTGTGAGCGTCCAGCGGCTGCGAGAGGCTGTGAGCGTCCAGCGGCTGTGAGAGGCTGTGAGCGTCCAGCGGCTGCGAGAGGCTGTGAGCGTCCAGCGGCTGTGAGAGGCTGTGAGCGTCCAGCGGCTGCGAGAGGCTGTGAGAGGCTGTGAGCGTCCAGCGGCTGTGAGCGTCCAGCGGCTGCGAGAGGCTGTGAGAGGCTGTGAGCGTCCAGCGGCTGTGAGAGGCTGTGAGCGTCCAGAGGCTGTGAGAGGCTGTGAGAGGCTGTGAGAGGCTGTGAGAGGCTGTGAGAGGCTGTGAGCGTCCAGCGGCTGTGAGAGGCTGTGAGCGTCCAGAGGCTGTGAGAGGCTGTGAGCGTCCAGCGGCTGTGAGAGGCTGTGAGCGTCCAGCGGCTGTGAGAGGCTGTGAGCGTCCAGCGGCTGCGAGAGGCTGTGAGCGTCCAGCCGCTGTGAGAGGCTGTGAGCGTCCAGCGGCTGTGAGAGGCTGTGAGCGTCCAGCGGCTGTGAGAGGCTGTGAGCGTCCAGCCGCTGCGAGAGGCTGTGAGCGTCCAGCGGCTGTGAGAGGCTGTGAGCGTCCAGCCGCTGTGAGAGGCTGTGAGCGTCCAGAGGCTGTGAGAGGCTGTGAGCGTCCAGCCGCTGCGAGAGGCTGTGAGCGTCCAGCGGCTGTGAGAGGCTGTGAGCGTCCAGCGGCTGCGAGAGGCTGTGAGCGTCCAGCGACTGCGAGAGGCTGTGAGCGTCCAGCGGCTGTGAGAGGCTGTGAGCGTCCAGCCGCTGCGAGAGGCTGTGAGCGTCCAGCGGCTGTGAGAGGCTGTGAGCGTCCAGCGGCTGCGAGAGGCTGTGAGCGTCCAGCGGCTGTGAGAGGCTGTGAGAGGCTGTGAGAGGCTGTGAGAGGCTGTGAGCGTCCAGCGGCTGTGAGCGTCCAGCGGCTGTGAGAGACTGTGAGCGTCCAGAGGCTGTGAGAGGCTGTGAGCGTCCAGCGGCTGTGAGAGGCTGTGAGCGTCCAGCGGCTGTGAGAGGCTGTGAGAGGCTGTGAGAGGCTGTGAGAGGCTGTGAGCGTCCAGCGGCTGTGAGCGTCCAGCGGCTGTGAGAGACTGTGAGCGTCCAGAGGCTGTGAGAGACTGTGAGCGTCCAGCGGCTGTGAGAGGCTGTGAGCGTCCAGCGGCTGTGAGAGGCTGTGAGCGTCCAGCGGCTGCGAGAGGCTGTGAGCGTCCAGCGGCTGTGAGAGGCTGTGAGCGTCCAGAGGCTGTGAGAGGCTGTGAGCGTCCAGCGGCTGCGAGAGGCTGTGAGCGTCCAGCGGCTGTGAGAGGCTGTGAGCGTCCAGCGGCTGTGAGAGGCTGTGAGCGTCCAGCCGCTGCGAGAGGCTGTGAGCGTCCAGCGGCTGTGAGAGGCTGTGAGCGTCCAGCCGCTGTGAGAGGCTGTGAGCGTCCAGAGGCTGTGAGAGGCTGTGAGCGTCCAGCCGCTGCGAGAGGCTGTGAGCGTCCAGCGGCTGTGAGAGGCTGTGAGCGTCCAGCGGCTGCGAGAGGCTGTGAGCGTCCAGCGACTGCGAGAGGCTGTGAGCGTCCAGCGGCTGTGAGAGGCTGTGAGCGTCCAGCCGCTGCGAGAGGCTGTGAGCGTCCAGCGGCTGTGAGAGGCTGTGAGCGTCCAGCGGCTGCGAGAGGCTGTGAGCGTCCAGCGGCTGTGAGAGGCTGTGAGAGGCTGTGAGCGGCTGTGAGCGTCCAGCGGCTGTGAGAGGCTGTGAGCGTCCAGCGGCTGCGAGCGTCCAGCGGCTGCGAGAGGCTGTGAGAGGCTGTGAGCGTCCAGCGGCTGTGAGCGTCCAGCGGCTGCGAGCGTCCAGCGGCTGTGAGAGGCTGTGAGCGTCCAGCGGCTGCGAGCGTCCAGCGGCTGTGAGAGGCTGTGAGCGTCCAGCGGCTGTGAGAGGCTGTGAGCGTCCAGAGGCTGTGAGAGGCTGTGAGAGGCTGTGAGCGTCCAGCGGCTGTGAGAGGCTGTGAGAGGCTGTGAGCGTCCAGCGGCTGTGAGAGGCTGTGAGCGTCCAGAGGCTGTGAGAGGCTGTGAGCGTCCAGCGGCTGCGAGAGGCTGTGAGCGTCCAGCGGCTGTGAGAGGCTGTGAGAGGCTGTGAGAGGCTGTGAGCGTCCAGCGGCTGTGAGAGGCTGTGAGCGTCCAGCGGCTGTGAGAGGCTGTGAGAGGCTGTGAGAGGCTGTGAGAGGCTGTGAGCGTCCAGCGGCTGTGAGAGGCTGTGAGGGCTGTGAGCGTCCAGCGGCTGTGAGAGGCTGTGAGCGTCCAGCGGCTGCGAGAGGCTGTGAGCGGCTGTGAGCGTCCAGCGGCTGCGAGAGGCTGTGAGCGTCCAGCGGCTGCGAGAGGCTGTGAGAGGCTGTGAGCGTCCAGCGGCTGTGAGCGGCTGTGAGCGTCCAGCGGCTGTGAGAGGCTGTGAGAGGCTGTGAGCGTCCAGCGGCTGTGAGCGTCTAGCGGCTGTGAGAGGCTGTGAGCGTCCAGCGGCTGTGAGCGGCTGTGAGCGTCCAGCGGCTGCGAGAGGCTGTGAGCGGCTGTGAGCGTCCAGCGGCTGCGAGAGGCTGTGAGCGGCTGTGAGCGTCCAGCGGCTGTGAGCGGCTGTGAGCGTCCAGCGGCTGTGAGAGGCTGTGAGCGTGAGCCCAGCGGCTGCGAGAGGCTGTGAGCGGCTGTGAGCGTCCAGCGGCTGTGAGAGGCTGTGAGCGGCTGTGAGCGTCCAGCGGCTGTGAGCGGCTGTGAGCGTCCAGCGGCTGTGAGAGGCTGTGAGCGTCCAGCGGCTGTGAGAGGCTGTGAGAGGCTGTGAGCGTCCAGAGGCTGTGAGAGGCTGTGAGCGTCCAGCGGCTGTGAGAGGCTGTGAGAGGCTGTGAGAGGCTGTGAGCGTCCAGCGGCTGTGAGCGTCCAGCGGCTGTGAGCGTCCAGCGGCTGTGAGAGACTGTGAGCGTCCAGAGGCTGTGAGAGGCTGTGAGAGGCTGTGAGAGGCTGTGAGAGGCTGTGAGAGGCTGTGAGAGGCTGTGAGAGGCTGTGAGAGACTGTGAGCGTCCAGCGGCTGTGAGAGGCTGTGAGCGTCCAGCGGCTGTGAGCGTCCAGCGGCTGTGAGAGGCTGTGAGCGTCCAGAGGCTGTGAGCGTCCAGCGGCTGTGAGAGGCTGTGAGCGTCCAGCGGCTGTGAGAGACTGTGAGCGTCCAGCGGCTGTGAGAGGCTGTGAGCGTCCAGCCGCTCCACCGTGTTGTGGCTGAGCGCGCAGCCTCATCGTGGCCATGTACCCAACCCCATAAACACAGGACCATGCGTGTCTTTGAGTAATCTGTGCACCCAATAAATACACTGCTGCAGGAAACAGTCCGCGTCTCCCCCTCCTCTCGAAGCGCGATTAAACGCCCTAAATAAAGCTCTGATACCTACATTTTCCATTGCATTAAAAGTTCATGTTTGAGCCCAAAAGTAATATGTTGTGAACAAATTAAACAGATTTAGAGCCAGCAAATGGCTGACAATATGCATTTCAGTCTTTTTTGACCAATTTTCATCCCTGTAACAAACAATAGTGTTGTCTGTGTCCTCCTCCCTCACTCTGAGACATGTTTATTACTCTTGTAATGTAGACTATTGCATTTTATTTTATTGTTGAAACTGCACATATCCTGATCCTCAGTATTTGCTTCCACATACTGTATAAACTGGAGTCAGCAACCTGCGGCTCCGGAGGTGCATGCGTCTCTTTCCTTCTGTAGAAGGAAAAACGTTCTTAACGTTTTTAAATGCTGTAAAATTGTGCATAAGTAATATTCAATTTAAACATTTCTGTCAACGTAGTGCGTCATATCCTGCGACGTAGGCCCACGCCAGGCGGCCGCTGTTGTAAACAAACCGGCGTGTGAGCATCATAGACTGTGCGCATGGATCCCAAAGCTAAAAAGAGAAGAGTCGATAATAAGACTGGACTAAGAATGAAACTTAACATTTGCTTTCAGTCAATGAGGAAGGACTGCTTCATGTTTGCGATGTAATGAGAAGTTTCTATGAGATAATTGTATCTGTGCTTAGAAACTACAAAAATGGCCGCTCGGGGTGGAGTTGAACCTGTGTCACCTGAATGGGGGCGTGGTCAAAAGCGCCTCATTTGCATTTAAAGAGACAGCACCAAAACAGGTTGCTCTCAGACGCACCTCAGAACAGGTGTAGGAGAAAGGCCCGTGGAGCTACAAATAATGAGACTCAGACCCAGGCATTGCAGTTACGCTTTATATAGGCCACAAATTAATGATTTAGATATGTCCACTTTAAATGCAGGATTTATTATGTACAATAAACGTAGTAGTGCAGGTTTTCAGTCCTAATGCAGTGACTTAAAGTGACTTGTTGTACAGTCTGACAGCAGTGGGGATAAAGGCCCTGCTCCTTCTTCCACTGAAGGAGCAGTAGCGTTTGCCATTTCTGCAGCAGTCTAACGCTTTACCAGTCACCAGTGTGGTCAGTTAGTACTTTACCAGTCACCAGTGTGGTCAGTTAGTACTTAAACAAGTCACCAGTGTGTTCAGTTAGTACTTTACCAGTCACCAGTGTGGTCAGTTAGTACTTTACCAGTCACCAGTGTGTTCAGTTAGTACTTTACCAGTCACCAGTGTGGTCAGTTAGTACTTTACCAGTCACCAGTGTGGTCAGTTAGTACTTTACCAGTCACCAGTGTGGTCAGTTAGTACTTTACCAGTCACCAGTGTGGTCAGTTAGTACTTTACCAGTCACCAGTGTGGTCAGTTAGTACTTTACCAGTCACCAGTGTGGTCAGTTAGTACTTTACCAGTCACCAGTGTGGTCAGTTAGTACTTTACCAGTCACCAATGTGGTCAGTTAGTACTTTACCAGTCACCAGTGTGGTCAGTTAGTACTTTACCAGTCACCAGTGTGGTCAGTTAGTACTTTACCAGTCACCAGTGTGGTCAGTTAGTACTTTACCAGTCACCAGTGTGGTCAGTTAGTACTTTACCAGTCACCAGTGTGGTCAGTTAGTACTTTACCAGTCACCAGTGTGGTCAGTTAGTACTTTACCAGTCACCAGTGTGGTCAGTTAGTACTTTACCAGTCACCAGTGTGGTCAGTTAGTACTTTACCAGTCACCAGTGTGGTCAGTTAGTACTTTACCAGTCACCAGTGTGGTCAGTTAGTACTTTACCAGTCACCAGTGTGGTCAGTTAGTACTTTACCAGTCACCAGTGTGGTCAGTTAGTACTTTACCAGTCACCAGTGTGGTCAGTTAGTACTTTACCAGTCACCAGTGTGGTCAGTTAGTACTTTCTATTCACTCTGCTGCACGAACACAATAACAAACTTAACATGGCTTTGCTTATTATATCAAATATAACAGGAGCTCCTCCTCCTGTGCAGTGGGGGCCTCCTGTCCCTCACCTCCTCCACAGAGTCCAGGGGCCTCCTGTCCCTCACCTCCTCCACAGAGTCCAGGGGCCTCCTGTCCCTCACCTCCTCCACAGAGTCCAGGGGCCTCCTGTCCCTCACCTCCTCCACAGAGTCCAGGGGCCTCCTGTCCCTCACCTCCTCCACAGAGTCCAGGGGCCTCCTGTCCCTCACCTCCTCCACAGAGTCCAGGGGCCTCCTGTCCCTCACCTCCTCCACAGAGTCCAGGGGCCTCCTGTCCCTCACCTCCTCCACAGAGTCCAGGGGCCTCCTGTCCCTCACCTCCTCCACAGAGTCCAGGGGCCTCCTGTCCCTCACCTCCTCCACAGAGTCCAGGGGCCTCCTGTCCCTCACCTCCTCCACAGAGTCCAGGGGCCTCCTGTCTCTCACCTCCTCCACAGAGTCCAGGGGCCTCCTGTCCCTCACCTCCTCCACAGAGTCCAGGGGCCTCCTGTCCCTCACCTCCTCCACAGAGTCCAGGGGCCTCCTGTCCCTCACCTCCTCCACAGAGTCCAGGGGCCTCCTGTCCCTCACCTCCTCCACAGAGTCCAGGGGCCTCCTGTCCCTCACCTCCTCCACAGAGTCCAGGGGCCTCCTGTCCCTCACCTCCTCCACAGAGTCCAGGGGCCTCCTGTCCCTCACCTCCTCCACAGAGTCCAGGGGCCTCCTGTCCCTCACCTCCTCCACAGAGTCTAAAGTCTTACCTTTTCTCGATCATCATTTGTCACTGGGGAATGTAGTATGAGGGCCTTCGATGCCGCTTGCAGTTTTCATTATGTTTGTTTGTTTTTCAGTGATTCTAATGGACCTGAAACCTCCTGTACCCTCACGGCACAGCAGCCACACCTGCCCTGCCCTGCCACAGAACAGCAGCCACACCTGCCCTGCTCTGCCACAGAACAGCAGCCACACCTGCCCTGCCCTGCCACAGAACAGCAGCCACACCTGCCCTGCTCTGCCACAGAACAGCAGCCACACCTGCCCTGCTCTGCCACAGAACAGCAGCCACACCTGCCCTGCCCTGCCACAGAACAGCAGCCACACCTGCCCTGCCCTGCCACAGAACAGCAGCCACACCTGCCCTGCCCTGCCACAGAACAGCAGCCACACCTGCCCTGCCCTGCCACAGAACAGCAGCCACACCTGCCCTGCCCTGCCACAGAACAGCAGCCACACCTGCCCTGCCCTGCCACAGAACAGCAGCCACACCTGCCCTGCCCTGCCACAGAACAGCAGCCACACCTGCCCTGCCCTGCCACAGAACAGCAGCCACACCTGCCCTGCCCTGCCACAGAACAGCAGCCACACCTGCCCTGCCCTGCCACAGAACAGCAGCCACACCTGCCCTGCTCTGCCACAGAACAGCAGCCACACCTGCCCTGCTCTGCCACAGAACAGCAGCCACACCTGCCCTGCTCTGCCACAGAACAGCAGCCACACCTGCCCTGCTCTGCCACAGAACAGCAGCCACACCTGCCCTGCCCTGCCACAGAACAGCAGCCACACCTGCCCTGCCCTGCCACAGAACAGCAGCCACACCTGCCCTGCTCTGCCACAGAACAGCAGCCACACCTGCCCTGCCCTGCCACAGAACAGCAGCCACACCTGCCCTGCTCTGCCACAGAACAGCAGCCACACCTGCCCTGCCCTGCCACAGAACAGCAGCCACACCTGCCCTGCCCTGCCACAGAACAGCAGCCACACCTGCCCTGCTCTGCCACAGAACAGCAGCCACACCTGCCCTGAGCCACCCTGGATGGCTCTGGCAAAGAAGAAGTCCAAAGCATGGAGCGAGACGCCGCAGAGCGTTCAGTGACTTTTGCACAATCTTTTTTCTATGATCACTTTATACAAATGCTTAGCTAGCTCTCTGTGAGCTTATGTCACTTCTGCTGACGTTTGGGACGTCCATACGACCAATGACCAATTAGAATGGGCAGACATCTTGGAGAGACCAGAGGCAGACATCTTGGAGAGACCAGAGGCAGACATCTTGGAGAGACCAGAGGCAGACATCTTGGAGAGACCAGAGGCAGACATCTTGGAGAGACCAGAGGCAGACATCTTGGAGAGACCAGAGGCAGACATCTTGGAGAGACCAGAGGCAGACATCTTGGAGAGACCAGGGGCAGACATCTTGGAGAGACCAGAGGCAGACATCTTGGAGAGACCAGAGGCAGACATCTTGGAGAGACCAGAGGCAGACATCTTGGAGAGACCAGAGGCAGACATCTTGGAGAGACCAGAGGCAGACATCTTGGAGAGACCAGAGGCAGACATCTTGGAGAGACCAGGGGCAGACATCTTGGAGAGACCAGAGGCAGACATCTTGGAGAGACCAGAGGCAGACATCTTGGAGAGACCAGGGGCAGACATCTTGGAGAGACCATGGGCATCTTGCTCTACTCTGCTCTGGCTGATGCTAACACAAGGCTAGCTAGCCCACTACATACAGCGCTCACGTCCACGTTTTATTGTGTATAACACTATTTCACTTTTTTCACCCTTTCATGATTGTTGCATTTTTTGCCTTTTATAAAACTGTAAAGTAAAATAAATGTGCTCTCTGCTGCAGCTGTCTCATGTTCAAGTATAGTCAAACTGATCCAGGGTCAGATCCTCTGGTTCCCATTGACACATGTAAAAGATACTGTTGACGTCATAGTCTGTGTCGCAGACTCTATGGACGAGGAGAGCCAAGTGTCTTGCCCAAGGATTCAAACCATCAACCTCCAGTTTGTGCTGTGTAAGAACATCAGTGTAAGAGTGTACTGTAGCTTTAAGAATCACAAACACCTTTTTTAAGATATTTATTCTTCATAATCTTCATGAAAGTGCAAAAAACAAAAACAGTGGGAGAAGTGGAACTTAAGGTACAAGATTCAGTTCCTTTAAATGACGTCATCAACACTTTAAATGTAAACACAGGACAGAGGGGCGTGGTCAGGACAGAGGGGCGTGGTCAGGACAGAGGGGCGTGGTCAGGTCAGACGGGCGTGGTCAGGACAGAGGGGCGTGGTCAGGACAGAGGGGCGTGGTCAGGACAGAGGGGCGTGGTCAGAACAGAGGGGCGTGGTCAGGTCAGATGGGCGTGGTCAGAACAGAGGGGCGTGGTCAGGTCAGATGGGCGTGGTCAGAACAGAGGGGCGTGGTCAGGTCAGATGGGCGTGGTCAGGACAGAGGGGCGTGGTCAGGACAGAGGGGCGTGGTCAGGTCAGAGGGGCGTGGTCAGGTCAGAGGGGCGTGGTCAGGTCAGATGGGCGTGGTCACATGTTTGGTTTTCGAGGCCTGGGTCTTAAATCACGCGTCAGTAAAACTCAGAAGCAGCTCATGTAAATGTAACAATGGAAATAAATAACAACAAGAATAAATAAAATCAGTGTCACACCATGGGAGCTGCCACTCCCAATGCTAGTGTCACACCATGGGAGCTGCCCCCCCCAATGCAAGTGTCACACCATGGGAGCTGCCACCCCCAATGCAAGTGTCACACCATGGGAGCTGCCACTCCCAATGCAAGTGTCACACCATGGGAGCTGCCACCCCCAATGCTAGTGTCACACCATGGGAGCTGCCACCCCCAATGCTAGTGTCACACCATGGGAGCTGCCACCCCCAATGCTAGTGTCACACCATGGGAGCTGCCACCCCCAATGCTAGTGTCACACCATGGGAGCTGCCACCCCCAATGCTAGTGTCACACCATGGGAGCTGTCACACCATGGGAGCTGCAACCCCCAATGCAAGTGTCGACCAATTTTAAAGGCAGATTTAACTAATGACCAGAGGCAATGCTAATGCTAAAGCTAATGCTGAAGCTAATGCTAAAGCTAATGCCCTAGTTTACATTGGGACATTGTTCTTACATAACACCATGATTAAGGTAAGGATCCTAGACCCTTTCAGACCTTTTTTTTTAGAACTTTTAACAGGTTCTGGTTGGGTCATTCTACTTATAGATTACTTATTTTACAGTGGGCTAAGACTCCAGGCTGCAGTACTGAGCCCCACCACCAGGCTGCAGTACTGAGCTCCACCACCAGGCTGCAGTACTGAGACCCACCACCAGGCTGCAGTACTGAGCCCCACCACCAGGCTGCAGTACTGAGCTCCACCACCAGGCTGCAGTACTGAGACCCACCACCAGGCTGCAGTACTGAGCCCCACCACCAGGCTGCAGTACTGAGCTGCTGTAGACCCAGAGGAGAGCACACACTGAGCTGCTGTAGACCCAGAGGAGAGCACACACTGAGCTGCTGTAGACCCAGAGGAGAGCACACACTGAGCTGCTGTAGACCCAGAGGAGAGCACACACTGAGCTGGTGTAGACCCAGAGGAGGACCCAGAGGAGAGCACACACTGAGCTGGTGTAGACCCAGAGGAGGACCCAGAGGAGAGCACACACTGAGCTGCTGTAGACCCAGAGGAGGACCCAGAGGAGAGCACACACTGAGCTGCTGTAGACCCAGAGGAGGACCCAGAGGAGAGCACACACTGAGCTGCTGTAGACCCAGAGGAGGACCCAGAGGAGAGCACACACTGAGCTGCTGTAGACCCAGAGGAGAGCACACACTGAGCTGCTGTAGACCCAGAGGAGAGCACACACTGAGCTGCTGTAGACCCAGAGGAGAGCACACACTGAGCTGCTGTAGACCCAGAGGAGAGCACACACTGAGCTGCTGTAAGGCAAGGCAAGGCAAGGCAAGGCAAGTTTATTTATATAGCACAATTCATACACAAGGCAATTCAAAGTGCTGAACAAAACAAGAAAGCATTAAAATCATAAATAATCACAGAACATTAAAAAGAAAGATACAAATATAAAATCCCTCAGTTGTATGCACAGCTAAACAGAACTGTCTTTAACCTGGCTTTAAACATTGTCAGAGAGGAGGCCTGTCTCACATCTCCAGGAAGACTGTTCCAGATTTTAGCAGCATGAATCTGAAAAGCAGCCTCCCCATGTTTAGTTCTGACTCTGGGCACTAACAGGAGTCCAGTCCCTGTGCTCCTCAGAGTCCGGGCTGGTTCATATGGGACTAACATGTCACTAATATATTTTGGTGCGAGGCCATGGAGAGACTTGTACACAAGCAGAGCTGTTTTAAAGTCTATTCTCTGAGCCACAGGAAGCCAGTGCAGAGACCTGAGGACTGGACTAATGTGGTCGTACTTCCTGGTTCTTGTCAGGACTCGAGCTGCTGCATTTTGAATGTACTGCAGCTGTTTTACAGCCTGTTTGGACAGACCTGTGAGCAGGCCATTGCAGTAGTCTAACCTACTGGAGACAAATGCATGGATAAGAATCTCCAAGTCTGCTTTAGACACTATGTTTTTGATCCTGGCAATGTTTTTTAGATGGTAAAAAGCTGCTGATGTTACTGATTTGATGTGGCTATTAAAATTTAAGTCTGAGTCCAGTATTACCCCTAGATTTCTGACCTTGTTTGAAGGTTTTAGGGAGAGAGACTGTAGGTGACAGATGACGCTCTCTCTTTGTTTCTGGGGACCAAAGACAATCATTTCAGTTTTGTCTGTGTTTAGCTGAAGGAAGTTGTTTTGCATCCACTCACTGATCTGTTGGATACAGTGAAGGAGTGAGTCCACTGGTCCATGTTCTCCTGCAGTCAGTGAGACATAGATCTGAGTGTCGTCTGCATAGTTATGATAGGAAACTTCGTTTCTGCGTATTAACTGACCTAACGGCAGCATGTAGAGATTGAACAGAAGAGGTCCCAGGATCGACCCCTGTGGTACTCCACAGGTCAGGGCCATATGATCTGAGACACAGTTTCCAATCTCCACAAAGTACTTCCTGTCCTCAAGGTAAGACCTAAACCAACTTAGGGCGGTGCCAGCGACTCCAACCCAGTCCTCTAGTCTCTGTAAGAGGATCTCATGGTCGACGGTGTCAAAGGCAGCACTTAGATCTAACAAGATTAAGATTGAGACTTTGCCTGCGTCAGTGTTCAGCCGGATATCGTTTGTAACCTTGACGAGAGCAGTCTCAGTGCTGTGGTGGGGTCTAAAGCCGGACTGAAACATATCAAATGAGTTGTTGATTATAAGAAATCTAGTAAGCTGTAGGTAGACAACTTTTTCAAGGACTTTCCCCATAAATGGCAGATTTGAGATGGGACGATAGTTGTTAAGTACCGTAGCATCGAGACTGCTCTTTTTTAGCAGGGGCCTGATGACTGCAGTTTTCAGGGCCTTTGGGAATATTCCAGAATGAAGGGACATGTTTACTATCTGTGTGAGTGAAGGTAACAGACTGCTCAGAACAGACTTCAGAAATCTAGTGGGTAGTACATCCAAGCTGCATGTGGAGGAGCTCAAACTGGAGATTATCTCTTGGACAGTTTTATCATTTACAGGTGCAAAGTGAGTTAGCTCAGAGAGCCTTTCTGGCTGTTGGATGGTTATCTGTGGATTGGAGACAATGGCGTTTTTGATGCCTTGAACCTTGTCATTGAAAAAATTTGCAAACTCATTGCATTTACGTTTGGAAGTAAGCTCTAATGGCATTTGAACAGGGGGGTTTGTTAATCTATTAACTGTTGAAAACAGAACACGCAGATTGTTGCTGCAGCCTTCAATCATTTCAGAAAAATACCTTTCTCTCGTACTACGTAGCACCCGGTTAAACTCGCACAACTTATCTTTGAAGATCTCGTAATCAACCTGGAGGTTGGACTTGCGCCACTTCCGCTCGGCCCTCCGGCACTTTCTCTTTTGTGCCCTGACCGAGTCTGCTTTAGCCCACGGCGCCTTCTGCTTATTTTTCACTATTTTAACCTTCACAGGGGCAACGGTATCCAGAACATTCAAAACACTAGAGGTGACAGAGTTAAACAGTTCATCTACAGTAGAATACGATGCATTCTCAAAGTTTATCATTCCCATAAATAGTTCACTCGTATTTTCATTTATGTGTCTTCTTCGTACAGTTGCAGAGTCCACTGGTGGTTTGTTAGTGAAACACATGTCAAAAAAAACACAGAAATGATCCGAAAGAGCAACATCGACCACGGTTTACATTTGAAATATTCACCCCCTTAGTAACTAACAGATCTAGAGTGTGCCCTCTGCTGTGGGTGGGGCCACTTACGTGCTGAGTGAGATCAAAGGATTCAAGTACAGAACTCAGCTCATTTGCATTTCTGTCATCAACATTATCCACATGAATATTAAAATCACCTGTAATAACCAAACTATCAAAATCTGTGCATACAACTGAAAGCAACTCGGTAAAATTATCAATAAAACTGTGACATGACTGCGGTGGCTTGTATAGGACAATGAAGAGTATTGGAGGAGATTGTTTTTGTTGTATTTTAAAAGACACATATTCAAAAGACGAAAACTTCCCAAGAGACATTCTATGGGAGACAAAGTGGTCTCTGAAAATGGCAGCTAAGCCTCCTCCTTTTTTGTTTTCCCGTATTTCAGATTCAAACTTGAAATTTGGTGGTGATGCTTCTATTAAAACTGCATTTCCTGAATTTTGGTCAAGCCAAGTTTCAGCCATGAACATAAGATCAAGATTATGAGAACAAATAAAATTATTGATTAAAAAAGACTTGTTACAAAGAGATCTGACATTAAGCGTAGCAAGTTTCAAAGTTTCAGTATCAGCGGTTGTGGTCGGCTGATTCTTACACGGAACAAGAATTAGATTTTCCAGATTAGACTTATTAACTCCAGATGTCTTTCTGTAATGTATTCTTTGTGTTATCACTACGGGAATGGCACAGGTGGCTTCATGACAGGGCCCCAGCCGGGTCTCTCCTCTAACTAGACTGCCAGTGGCTGCGAAGCAGAGACCCTGTGCATCCTGTAGACCCAGAGGAGAGCACACACTGAGCTGCTGTAGACCCAGAGGAGAGCACACACTGAGCTGCTGTAGACCCAGAGGAGAGCACACACTGAGCTGCTGTAGACCCAGAGGAGAGCACACACTGAGCTGGTGTAGACCCAGAGGAGGACCCAGAGGAGAGCACACACTGAGCTGGTGTAGACCCAGAGGAGGACCCAGAGGAGAGCACACACTGAGCTGCTGTAGACCCAGAGGAGAGCACACACTGAGCTGCTGTAGACCCAGAGGAGAGCACACACTGAGCTGGTGTAGACCCAGAGGAGGACCCAGAGGAGAGCACACACTGAGCTGGTGTAGACCCAGAGGAGGACCCAGAGGAGAGCACACACTGAGCTGCTGTAGACCCAGAGGAGGACCCAGAGGAGAGCACACACTGAGCTGCTGTAGACCCAGAGGAGGACCCAGAGGAGAGCACACACTGAGCTGCTGTAGACCCAGAGGAGAGCACACACTGAGCTGCTGTAGACCCAGAGGAGAGCACACACTGAGCTGCTGTAGACCCAGAGGAGAGCACACACTGAGCTGCTGTAGACCCAGAGGAGAGCACACACTGAGCTGCTGTAGACCCAGAGGAGAGCACACACTGAGCTGCTGTAGACCCAGAGGAGAGCACACACTGAGCTGCTGTAGACCCAGAGGAGAGCACACACTGAGCTGGTGTAGACCCAGAGGAGGACCCAGAGGAGAGCACACACTGAGCTGGTGTAGACCCAGAGGAGGACCCAGAGGAGAGCACACACTGAGCTGCTGTAGACCCAGAGGAGGACCCAGAGGAGAGCACACACTGAGCTGGTGTAGACCCAGAGGAGAGCACACACTGAGCTGCTGTAGACCCAGAGGAGAGCACACACTGAGCTGCTGTAGACCCAGAGGAGAGCACACACTGAGCTGCTGTAGACCCAGAGGAGAGCACACACTGAGCTGGTGTAGACCCAGAGGAGGACCCAGAGGAGAGCACACACTGAGCTGGTGTAGACCCAGAGGAGGACCCAGAGGAGAGCACACACTGAGCTGCTGTAGACCCAGAGGAGGACCCAGAGGAGAGCACACACTGAGCTGCTGTAGACCCAGAGGAGGACCCAGAGGAGAGCACACACTGAGCTGCTGTAGACCCAGAGGAGAGCACACACTGAGCTGCTGTAGACCCAGAGGAGAGCACACACTGAGCTGCTGTAGACCCAGAGGAGAGCACACACTGAGCTGCTGTAGACCCAGAGGAGAGCACACACTGAGCTGCTGTAGACCCAGAGGAGAGCACACACTGAGCTGCTGTAGACCCAGAGGAGAGCACACACTGAGCTGCTGTAGACCCAGAGGAGAGCACACACTGAGCTGCTGTAGACCCAGATGAGAGCACACACTGAGCTGCTGTAGACCCAGAGGAGAGCACACACTGAGCTGCTGTAGACCCAGAGGAGAGCACACACTGAGCTGCTGTAGACCCAGAGGAGAGCACACACTGAGCTGGTGTAGACCCAGAGGAGAGCACACACTGAGCTGCTGTAGACCCAGAGGAGAGCACACACTGAGCTGGTGTAGACCCAGAGGAGAGCACACACTGAGCTGCTGTAGACCCAGAGGAGAGCACACACTGAGCTGCTGTAGACCCAGAGGAGAGCACACACTGAGCTGCTGTAGACCCAGAGGAGGACCCAGAGGAGAGCACACACTGAGCTGCTGTAGACCCAGAGGAGAGCACACACTGAGCTGGTGTAGACCCAGAGGAGAGCACACACTGAGCTGCTGTAGACCCAGAGGAGAGCACACACTGAGCTGCTGTAGACCCAGAGGAGAGCACACACTGAGCAGACACAGCAGCACTGGATGCTCTGACAAACACACAGCTGCAGAGGCGTGAGGGCAAAGAGGGGCAAATGAGAGGACTGGGCTTATAAAGTCCACCGGGGCGGCCCCTGGGCTTATAAAGTCCACCGGGGCGGCCCCTGGGCTTATAAAGTCCACCGGGGCGGCCCCTGGGCTTATAAAGTCCACCGGGGCGGCCCCTGGGCTTATAAAGTCCACCGGGGCGGCCCCTGGGGACACTGGCCTCAGAGCTGTTTTACCACATGTTGGAGACAAAGTACAGGACATACCCTCGGTGTTGCATGTTCTCCTGGTGCCTCACATGGTGTTGCATGTTCTCCTGGTGCCTCACATGGTGTTGCATGTTCTCCTGGTGCCTCACATGGTGTTGCATGTTCTCCTGGTGCCTCACATGGTGTTGCATGTTCTCCTGGTGCCTCACGTGGTGTTGCATGTTCTCCTGGTGCCTCACGTGGTGTTGCATGTTCTCCTGGTGCCTCACGTGGTGTTGCATGTTCTCCTGGTGCCTCACGTGGTGTTGCATGTTCTCCTGGTGCCTCACATGGTGTTGCATGTTCTCCTGGTGCCTCACATGGTGTTGCATGTTCTCCTGGTGCCTCACATGGTGTTGCATGTTCTCCTGGTGCCTCACATGGTGTTGCATGTTCTCCTGGTGCCTCACATGGTGTTGCATGTTCTCCTGGTGCCTCACATGGTGTTGCATGTTCTCCTGGTGCCTCACATGGTGTTGCATGTTCTCCTGGTGCCTCACATGGTGTTGCATGTTCTCCTGGTGCCTCACATGGTGTTGCATGTTCTCCTGGTGCCTCACATGGTGTTGCATGTTCTCCTGGTGCCTCACATGGTGTTGCATGTTCTCCTGGTGCCTCACATGGTGTTGCATGTTCTCCTGGTGCCTCACATGGTGTTGCATGTTCTCCTGGTGCCTCACATGGTGTTGCATGTTCTCCTGGTGCCTCACATGGTGTTGCATGTTCTCCTGGTGCCTCACATGGTGTTGCATGTTCTCCTGGTGCCTCACATGGTGTTGCATGTTCTCCTGGTGCCTCACATGGTGTTGCATGTTCTCCTGGTGCCTCACATGGTGTTGCATGTTCTCCTGGTGCCTCACATGGTGTTGCATGTTCTCCTGGTGCCTCACATGGTGTTGCATGTTCTCCTGGTGCCTCACATGGTGTTGCATGTTCTCCTGGTGCCTCACGTGGTGTTGCATGTTCTCCTGGTGCCTCACGTGGTGTTGCATGTTCTCCTGGTGCCTCACGTGGTGTTGCATGTTCTCCTGGTGCCTCACGTGGTGTTGCATGTTCTCCTGGTGCCTCACGTGGTGTTGCATGTTCTCCTGGTGCCTCACGTGGTGTTGCATGTTCTCCTGGTGCCTCACATGGTGTTGCATGTTCTCCTGGTGCCTCACATGGTGTTGCATGTTCTCCTGGTGCCTCACATGGTGTTGCATGTTCTCCTGGTGCCTCACATGGTGTTGCATGTTCTCCTGGTGCCTCACATGGTGTTGCATGTTCTCCTGGTGCCTCACATGGTGTTGCATGTTCTCCTGGTGCCTCACGTGGTGTTGCATGTTCTCCTGGTGCCTCACATGGTGTTGCATGTTCTCCTGGTGATGAAGAGCAGGACGGAGACCGGTACTAGGACTGGGACCAGGACCAGGACCAGGACAGAGACCAGAACAGAGACCAGGACCAAGACGGAGACTGGTACTAGGACTGGGACCAGGACAGCACATGACCAGAAAACCAGAAGGCATCCCAAACAGATGAGCCACCTCGACTGGCTCCTCTCCACGTGGAGGAGCAGCTCTACTCCGAGCTCCTCTATCTCTAAAGGAGCAGTGGCTCTACTCCGAGCTCCTCTCTCTCTAAGGGAGTCCCTCTCTGGAGGAAACTCATGTGTCGCTTGTATCTGTGACCAGAGGAGAGGGAGGGGACGAGAGCTCTGACTGCAGACGCTGCTCCCTCATGACCAGAGGAGAGGGAGGGACTAGAGCTCTGACTGCAGACGCTGCTCCCTCATGACCAGAGGAGAGGGAGGGACTAGAGCTCTGACTGCAGACGCTGCTCCCTCATGACCAGAGGAGAGGGAGGGGACGAGAGCTCTGACTGCAGACGCTGCTCCCTCATGACCAGAGGAGAGGGAGGGGACGAGAGCTCTGACTGCAGACGCTGCTCCCTCATGACCAGAGGAGAGGGAGGGACTAGAGCTCTGACTGCAGACGCTGCTCCCTCATGACCAGAGGAGAGGGAGGGTACGAGAGCTCTGACTGCAGACGCTGCTCCCTCATGACCAGAGGAGAGGGAGGGGACGAGAGCTCTGACTGTAGACACTGCTCCCTCATGATCAGAGGAGAGCTCTGACTGCAGACACTGCTCCCTCATGACCAGAGGAGAGCTCTGACTGCAGACACTGCTCCCTCATGACCAGAGGAGAGGGAGGGGACGAGAGCTCTGACTGCAGACGCTGCTCCCTCATGACCAGAGGAGAGGGAGGGTACGAGAGCTCTGACTGCAGACGCTGCTCCCTCATGACCAGAGGAGAGGGAGGGGACGAGAGCTCTGACTGCAGACACTGCTCCCTCATGACCAGAGGAGAGGGAGGGGACGAGAGCTCTGACTGCAGACGCTGCTCCCTCATGACCAGAGGAGAGGGAGGGGACGAGAGCTCTGACTGCAGACACTGCTCCCTCATGACCAGAGGAGAGGGAGGGGACGAGAGCTCTGACTGCAGACGCTGCTCCCTCATGACCAGAGGAGAGGGAGGGGACGAGAGCTCTGACTGCAGACGCTGCTCCCTCATGACCAGAGGAGAGGGAGGGGACGAGAGCTCTGACTGCAGACACTGCTCACACACACATGTCTAACCAATCAGAGGCCTTCATTCAGGAAGAACAGACTGACAGATATTTCCTCTTTATTCATTCAATTGTAAAGTGAGTTTACGTTTTAGTCCTGGGTCTACAGTCTCAGTCCTGGGTCTACAGTCTCAGTCCTGGGTCTACAGCCTCAGTCCTGGGTCTACAGCCTCAGTCCTGGGTCTACAGCCTCAGTCCTGGGTCTACAGCCTCAGTCCTGGGTCTACAGCCTCAGTCCTGGGTCTACAGCCTCAGTCCTGGGTCTACAGCCTCAGTCCTGGATCTACAGCCTCAGTCCTGGTCTACAGCCTCAGTCCTGGGTCTACAGCCTCAGTCCTGGGTCTACAGCCTCAGTCCTGGGTCTACAGCCTCAGCCTGGTCTACAGCCTCAGTCCTGGGTCTACAGCCTGGTCACACAGGTCCTGGGTCTACAGCCTCAGTCCTGGGTCTACAGCCTCAGTCCTGGGTCTACAGCCTCAGTCCTGGGTCTACAGCCTCAGTCCTGGATCTTCAACACGTTCCTCTTTTCCAAATGGTTCATCTCCTTCAGGATCAAAGCCACATTGTACCGCAGCTCCTGGAACCTGGACACTGGCACCTGCAGAGGTCAGAGGTCACAATGAACCAGACCAGAGAGAGACCAGGAAGAGAGACCTGAGAGAGACCAGAGAGAGACCAGAGAGAGAGACCAGAGAGAGAGACCAGAGAGAGAGACCAGAGAGAGACCAGAGAGAGACCAGAGAGAGACCAGAGAGAGACCAGAGAGAGACCAGAGAGAGACCAGAGAGAGACCAGAGAGAGAGACCAGAGAGAGAGACCAGAGAGAGACCAGAGAGAGACCAGAGAGAGACCAGAGAGAGACCAGAGAGAGACCACCAGAGAGACCAGAGAGAGACGAGAGAGAGACCAGAGAGAGACCAGAGAGAGACCAGAGAGAGAGACCAGAGAGAGAGACCAGAGAGAGACCAGAGGGAGACCAGAGGGAGACCAGAGAGAGACCAGAGGGAGACCAGAGGGAGAGACCAGAGAGAGAGACCAGAGAGAGACCAGAGAGAGACCAGAGAGAGAGACCAGAGAGAGACCAGAGAGAGACCAGAGGGAGAGACCAGGGAGAGACCAGAGAGAGACCAGAGAGAGACCATGGAGGGAACGTCATTAAGTTTTACCTCAAACTGTTTGTGAGATCCATCTGAGAGCTTCATCCACATCAGGACTGAGGGCTGCAGAGCACGAGACAGAGACCTGAGAGAGGAGAGGAGAGAGGGGGGAGAGAGAGGAGAGGAGAGAGAGAGAGGAGAGAGGAGAGAGAGAGGAGAGAGAGGAGAGAGGGGGGAGAGAGGAGAGAGAGGAGAGAGAGGAGAGGAGAGAGAGAGAGGAGAGGAGAGAGGGGGGAGAGAGGAGAGAGGAGAGAGGGGGGAGAGGGAGAGAGGAGAGAGGGGGAGAGGGGAGAGAGGAGAGAGGGGGGAGAGGGGAGAGAGAGAGAGAGAGGAGAGGGGGGGGAGAGGGGGAGAGAGAGAGAGAGGAGAGAGGGGGAGAGAGGAGAGAGAGAGGAGAGAGAGGGAGAGAGAGAGAGGAGAGAGAGGAGAGGGGGGAGAGGGGAGAGAGAGAGAGAGAGGAGAGAGGGGGGAGAGAGGAGAGAGAGAGAGAGGGGGGAGAGAGGAGAGAGAGGAGAGAGAGAGGAGAGGAGAGAGAGAAGGAGAGAGGTGGGGAGAGAGGAGAGAGAGGAGAGAGGGAGGAGAGAGGAGAGAGGAGGGGAGAGAGAGAGGAGAGAGAGAGGAGAGAGGGGGGGAGAGAGAAGAGAGAGAGGAGAGAGAGTGAGAGAGAGGAGAGAGGAGAAGAGGAGAGAGGAGAGAGGAGGGAGGGGGAGAGAGAGAGAGAGGGAGAGAGGGGGGAGAGGATGAGAGAGGAGAGAGAGAGGGGAGGAGAGAGGGGGGAGAGAGAGAGAGAGGGAGAGAGAGGAGAGAGAGAGAGAGAGGAGAGAGAGAGGGGGAGAGAGAGGAGGAGGAGAGGGGGGGAGAGAGAGGAGAGAGGGGGGAGAGAGAGAGAGAGGAGAGAGAGAGGAGGAGAGAGGAGAGAGAGAGAGGAGAGAGGAGAGAGAGAGGGGGGGGGGGGGAGGGGGGGGGTGGTGGGGGGGGGTGGGGGGGGGGGGGGGGAGAGAGGTAGAGAGAGAGGAGACAGAGAGTAGAGAGAGAGGAGAGAGAGGTAGGGGGGGGTAGAAGAGGAAGGAGAGATGAGAGAGAGAGAGAGAGAGAGGAAGAGAGAGAGGAGAGAGAGAGGAGAGGAGAGGAGAGAGAGAGGAGAGAGGTAGAGGAGGAGAGGAGGGAGAGGATAGAGAGGAGAGGAGAGAGGGGGAGAGAGGAGAGGAGAGAGAGAGGAGAGGAGAGAGGGGCGGGGAGAGAGAGGAGAGAGAGAGAGGAGAGAGAGGGCGGAGAGAGGAGAGAGAGGAGAGAGAGAGAGGAGAGAGAGGAACGAGAGAAGGAGAGAGAGAGAGGAGTAGAGGAGAGAGTAGGGTGGGAGAGAGAGAGAGGAGAGAGGAGACGAGAGGAGGAGAGAGAGAGGAGAGCGGAGAGAGAGGGCGAGAGAGGAGAGAGAGAGGAGAGAGAGAGGGGGGGAGAGAGAGAGAGGAGAGGAGAGAGAGAGAGGGGGAGAGAGAGGAGAGAGCGTGACGATGGAGAGAGGAGAGAGGAGGAGAGAGAGAGGAGAGAGAGAGAGGAGATAGCGGAGAGAGAGAGTAGAGGACGAGAGTGATGAGGAGAGAGAGGAGAGGAGGAGAGAGGAGAGAGGAGGTGAGTGAGAGAGATGAGAGAGCGATGAGGAGAGAGAGGAGAGAGAGAGAGGGAGAGTGATAGAGAGAGGAGGGGAGGGAGGAGAGAGAGGAGAGAGAGAGGGGTTAGAGTGAGGAGAGAGGAGAGGGAGAGAGAGAGAGTGAGAGAGGAGAGAGGAGGGGAGAGAGGTAGAGAGAGAGGAGGAGAGGGGGGAGAGAGGAGAGAGAGGAGAGAGGATAGATGAGAGGAGGAGGGAGAGGGGAGGAGAGAGAGGAGAGAGAGAGGAGAGGAGAGAGGGGAGAGGGAGGAGAGAGGAGAGAGAAGGAGAGAGAGGGGAGGAGAGATGAGGAGAGAGGAGAGAGGGGGAGAGTGGAGAGAGGAGAGGTGGTGAGAGAGGAGAGATAGCGAGGGGGAGAGAGGAGAGAGAGGAGAGAGAGAGGAGAGATGAGAGGATGGAGAGAGAGAGGGACGAGAGGTGAGGAGAGAGGAGAGAGAGGAGAGAGAAGAGGAGAGAGAGGAGAGGGGGGAGAGAGAGAGGAGAGAGCGAGAGAGAGGAGAGAGGAGGGATGAGAGGGAGGAGGAGATGAGAGAGAGAGAGCGAGAGAGAGGAGGAGAGAGAGGAGAGCGAGGAGAGAGAGAGGAGAGAGAGGAGAGAGAGAGAGTTAGAGAGAGGAGATAGAGAGTATGAGATGAGAGGAGAGTGAGAGATGAGAGAGAGGAGATAGCTCGGAGAGAGATAGGAGAGAGGAGAGAGAGGGAGAGAGAGGAGCGAGAGAGGAGAGAGAGAGGAGGAGAGAGGAGAGGAGAGAGGAGAGGATAGGGGGGAGAGAGAGAGAGTAGAGAGAGAGAGAGGGAGAGAGGAGAGGAGAGAGGAGAGAGAGAGAGAGAGAGGAGAGAGAGAGATTGAGAGGAGGGAGGAGAGAGAGGAGAGGGAGGAGGAGAGAGAGGAAGGGGAGGAGAGGAGAGAGAGGGAGGAGAGATGAGAGAGAGGAGAGAGAGGGAGAGAGGAGGAGGAGAGAGAGGAGAGGGAGAGGAGAGAGAGGAGAGGAGAGAGGAGAGGGAGGAGGAGAGAGAGAGAGAGGGAGAGAGGAGAGGAGAGGAGGAGAGAGAGAGGAGAGGAGAGAGAGAGGAGGGAGAGAGAGGAGAGGAGGAGAGAGAGGAGAGAGGAGAGAGAGGGAGAGGGAGAGAGAGAGGGAGGAGAGAGGAGAGAGAGGAGAGAGAGGAGAGGAGAGAGGAGGAGGAGAGAGAGGAGAGGAGGAGAGAGAGGAGAGAGGAGGAGGAGAGGAGGGAGGAGAGGAGAGAGAGAGAGAGAGGGGGGAGGAGGGAGGAGAGGGAGAGGAGAGAGAGGAGAGAGAGGGAGAGAGAGGGAGAGAGAGGGAGAGAGGGAGGGAGAAGAGAGGAGAGGAGAGAGAGGAGAGAGAGAGGAGAGGAGAGAGAGAGGAGAGGAGAGGAGAGGAGAGAGGGGGAGAGGGAGAGGAGAGAGGGAGAGAGAGAGGAGGAGAGAGGAGAGAGAGAGAGGATGAGAGGAGAGAGGAGAGGTGGAGGAGAGAGAGGAAGAGAGAGGAGAGAGGAGGGAGAGAGAGAGGAGAGAGAGGAGAGAGAGGAGAGGAGAGAGAGAGGGAGAGAGAGGAGAGAGAGGGAGAGAGGAGAGAGGAGAGAGGAGGAGGATGAGAGAGGGGAGGAGAGAGAGAGAGGAGAGAGAGAGAGGAGAGGAGGAGAGAGGGAGAGAGAGAGGAGAGAGAGAGGAGAGAGGAGAGGAGAGGAGGAGAGAGAGGAGAGAGAGATGGAGGAAGGAGAGGAGAGGTGGAGAGGAGAGGAGAGAGGAGGAGAGAGAGAGGAGAGGAGAGGAGCGAGGGAGAGAGAGAGGAGGGAGAGAGGAGAGAGGAGGAGAGGAGGAGAGAGGGAGAGAGAGAGGAGAGGAGAGGAAGGGAGAGAGAGAGTGAGAGGGGAGAGAGAGGAGAGAGAGGAGGAGAGAGGAGAGAGAGAGGAGAGGAGGAGAGAGAGGAGGAGAGGAGGAGAGAGAGGAGAGAGGGGAGGAGAGGAGAGAGGGAGGAGAGAGGGAGAGAGAGGAGAGAGAGGAGAGAGGGAGGAGAGAGGAGAGAGAGAGGAGAGAGGAGGGAGAGGAGAGAGGAGAGGGAGAGAGAGAGAGGGAGAGAGGAGGAGGAGGAGAGAGGAGAGGGAGAGAGGAGGGAGAGGAGAGAGAGGAGGAGAGAGAGGGAGAGGAGAGAGAGAGGGAGAGAGGAGGAGAGAGGAGAGGAGAGGGAGAAGAGAGGAGGAGAGGAGGGAGGAGGAGAGAGGGAGGAGAGAGGGGAGAGAGAGGAGGGGGAGGAAGAGGGAGAGAGAGGGGAGGAGAGGAGAGAGAGGAGAGGGAGAGAGGAGAGAGGAGAGGAGGGAGGAGAGAGGAGAGGAGAGGAGGAGAGAGGAGAGAGGGGAGGAGGAGAGAGAGGGGGAGAGAGGAGAGGAGAGAGAGGAGAGAGAGGAGAGAGGAGAGGGAGGAGAGAGGGAGAGGGAGGGAGGAGAGGGGAGAGAGGAGAGGAGAGAGGGGAGAGGAGAGAGAGAGGAGGGAGAGGAGGAGAGAGGAGAGAGAGGGGAGGAGAGAGGAGGAGAGAGAGGAGGAGAGAGGAGGAGAGAGGAGAGGAGGAGGAGAGAGGAGAGGGAGGAGTGAGAGGAGAGAGGAGGGGAGAGGAGGAGAGAGAGAGGAGAGAGAGGAGGAGGAGAGAGAGGAGAGAGGAGAGGAGAGAGAGAGGGAGGGAGAGGGAGGAGAGGAGAGAGAGGAGAGAGAGGAGAGAGGAGAGAGGAGGAGAGGAGGAGAGAGAGGGAGAGGGAGGAGAGAGGAGAGAGAGAGGAGAGGAGAGGAGGGAGAGAGGAGAGAGAGAGGAGGAGAGGAGAGAGGAGGGAGGGGGAGAGGAGAGGAGGAGAGAGAGAGGAGAGAGGAGGAGAGAGGAGAGGAGAGAGGAGAGAGAGGAGAGAGAGGAGAGAGAGAGAGAGGAGGATGAGAGGAGAGGGAGGAGAGAGAGAGGAGGGATGGAGGAGAGGAGAGAGGAGGGAGAGAGAGGAGGAGAGAGAGAGGAGAGAGGAGAGGAGAGAGGAGAGAGAGGAGGAGAGGAGGGAGAGGAGAGAGGAAGAGAGAGGAGGAGAGGAGAGAGAGGAGAGAGAGAGGAGAGAGAGGAGAGGAGGAGGAGGAGATGAGGGAGAGGAGAGAGGGAGAGAGAGGAGAGGAGGAGAGAGGAGGAGAGAGAGGAGAGGAGGAGAGAGGGGAGAGAGAGGAGAGAGAGGGAGAGAGGGAGAGAGAGGAGAGATGGAGGAGAGAGGAGGGAGGGAGAGGAGAGAGAGGAGAGGAGGAGAGGAGAGGAGAGGAGAGAGGAGGGAGGAGAGAGGAGAGAGGAGAGAGGAGGAGAGAGGAGAGTTTATTAAGGGGTGGAGGGGGGGGGGGTAAGGGGTAATTAGTGGTGGAGGGGGGGAGGTTTTATAATATAGAGTTGAAGGGGAAGTAAGTTTTAATTTAATGGGGGGGTTAAATAGGGGGGGGTGGGGTGAGAGGAAGTGGAATTAGGTGGAGAATTGGGGGGGGGGGGGGGGGGGGGGGGGGGTTGGATATATTGTATGAAAGGGGAGGGAATGATTAGAAGTGTAGGGGAAGGGGGGGGAGGTTATGGATTTAGATTTGGGTGTGGTGGGGTGGTGTTTGGATTAGGGGTGTTTAGGGGAGGGGAGTTTGTGGAGGGAGTTAGTGAGGGTAGGAGTGGAGTGTTAAGTATTGAGATTGGGGGGGGGGGGTTATGGATGTAAGGTAGGGGGGGGGTTATGGGGGATTATGAGGTGTGGTTTTAGGGGGATATATGTGTGTATGGGTGGGGGGGTGGGAGAAGAGGATTTATGGGATGGGGGGGTTTGGTAAGTTTAGGGGGGGTTGAATATAGGAGATTTGGATTGTGGAAGATTGAGGGTGGGGGGGGGGAGGGGGGAAGTTTGGGGTAAGATGGTGAGGGGGGGGGGGGGAAAGGGTGTGTTTTATGGGGGGGAAAGATGAGGAGGGAGGGTTGGGGGGTTAGGGTGGTGAGTTAATGGGGGTATGATTGGGGGAATATTGGGAAGAAGGAAGGGGAGTAAGAGAGATGAGAATTAGGGGGGTAGGGTGGGTTTTTAGTAGGGGGAAAGAGATGTGGTAAGAGGGGGGTGGGTGGGGGGGGGGAGAGGTTTTGTATTTAGTGTATGGTGAGTGTATTTGAGGGATATGTATAATGATTGGGGGGAAAGGAGGGGGGAAGAAGTGAAGAGGGGGTGGAGAGGAGGGATGTTGTGGGTTAGGAAGGGTGAGGGGGGGGTAGATAGGGAGGGTGTGGGTGTGTTTTGGGGGAGATGATGTTTGGTATGGGGAGTGTAGTTAAGTGGGGATTTTGGTTTTGTGGGGGGGGGGGGAAAGGTGGTGTGATGGGATGGAGTGATTTGGGTAGGGGATGGGGGAGGGGGGTGGAATAAAGGTTGGGTGGAGGAGGAGTGTAGGGTGGGGGGTGAATTTTGGGTATATGGTAGGGGGGAGGTGGGGGAAATAGTGTGTGTTGTTATTGTTGGGTTATTGAGTTGTGTGGTTGTTTGTGTTTGATGTGTGGGGTGTTTTGTTGTTTGAGGGGGTTGGTTGTAGAGTTGAGGGGTATATGTTGGAATGTTGTTGTATATTGGGGGGGGTGGGGGTTGGAAGGGTATGGGGGTGTTGTGTAGGGGGGTGTAGGGTGAATATGGTAGGTAGAGGGGTTGGGGGAGTGGGGGTTTGTTGGGGATAATGTGTTAGGTTTTATTATTTGATTGGTGTAGGGGTGATAGATATTGGGTATGATGGGGGGGGGGGGGATGGTAGGGAGGGGGTTTTAATAGGGGTTGGAGTATGGGTTTGAGTTAGTTGTGGGGATAAGAGTATATGGTTAGGATTTGGATAGAGGGGAAGAGGGGGAAGGGTGGGGTTGTGATAAGAAGAGTAGATTTAGTGGTAAGGGGGAAGTGAGGGTGGATGGGAAAGATGGGTAATGAGTTGGATTGGGGGGGGAATAGAGAAGGAGAGATGAGTAATGTGAAGGTGGGTTGAGTAAGAGGGGGGTATATTGGGAAATGGGAAGGTTAAGGATGTGGGGGGAAGGGGGTATAAGGGGGGGGGTGGGGATGGGGTTGGTGGGGGAAGGGGTGTGGGGGTTTAGGGGGGTAGGGGGGTGTAAGGTGGGTGTATGGGAGAATGTAAGGGTTGTGTAAAGAAAAGTAGAGTTTGGTAGGGAGGTGAGAGTAGAGTAATGAGATGATTGTAGGGTTAGGGTAAAGTATTAAGTAGAGTAGAGTAGAATAGTAAAGTAGATTATAGTAGAGTAGAGTAGAGTAGAGAGTAGAGGAGGGTTGAGTGTTGAGTAAGGAAGTAGAGTAGAGTCGAGGAGAGTAGAGTAGAGTAGAGTAGAGTAGAGTAGAGATAGAGTTGAGTAGAGTTAGAGTTGGGTAGGGTAAAGTAGAGTAAAGTAGATGAGAGAGTAAGTTGAGTAGAGAGGATAGTAAAGTAAAGTTGAGGAGAGTAGAGTAAGTTAGGGTTAGGGTAAAGTAGAGTAAAGTAAGTTGAGTAGAGTAAAGTAGATGTTTAGATTGAGGAGAGTAGAGTAGAGTAGAGTATGAGTAGAGTAGAGTAAAGTAGAGTAGAAGTAGAGTAGATTGAGTAGAGTAGGAGTGGGGGAATAGGGAAGGGGTTAAGGTAATTTGAAAGGAGGGTGGGAAAGAGGGGAAGGGGGGAGTGAATAAGATAGGGGTATTTAGGGGGGAGTTAGGGTATGGGGGTGGGGGGAATTGGGAGGGGGGGTTGGAAAGGGGGGAATTGGGGTGGGAAAAGGGGGTATAGGGGTGGGGGGGGATATGGGGGGGGGGATTGTGTGGGTAATTAATGTAGTTAGGTTGGATTGGGAGTTGTAGAGGGGTTTATGGAGGTTGGTTAAAGGATGGGGAGGTATATTGGGGGGGGGGGTTTAGTTGATATATTGGTGGTTTGTTATTGGGATGTAGTGGGGTGGGGGGGTTGAATTGGGGTTGGAAAGGAGGAATGATATGAATGGGGGGGGGGGTGGGGTATAGAATGAGGGGGTATGGAAGAGAATAAGGGGGTATGGTTGAGGGTAGGATGGGTTAGGTATGGAATTGATTTATATAGGGGGAGAGGGGGGTGATGAATGGTAAGAGAGATTAGAGAAAGAGAGAGGGGTGAGAGATAGGAGAGATGGGTTTAAGAGAGAGAGAGTTAGAGAGATAGATGGGGAAGTGGGGGAATGTATATGGAGAGAATGGGGAGGGGGGGAAAATTTGTTTATAGGTGAAGGGGGGTTTTTTGATTGTTATTGTTTGGTGGGGGGATGGTGGAAGGAGGGGGGAAGAAGAGAGGGGGGGAAGAGGTGGGAGAGGGAGTAGAGAGGGGGGGGGAGAGAGAGGGGGGGGGGAGAGAAGGAAGGAGGGAAAATAGGGGGGGAGAGAGGGGATCGAGAGGGGTGATAGAGGGGAGAGAGAGAGAGAATGAGGGGGAGAAATAGGGAGAGAGAGAGAGAAAAGGGTGGAGAAATAGGAGAGAGAGGAGGAGAGAGAGAGAGGAGAGGGGGAGGAAAGGAGATGAAAGGGGGGGGGAAGGGTGTGTTGGGTGGGGAAAAGGGGGGGGGATTTTAGGGTGGTGAGGAGAGATGTGAGTGGTTATAGGGGGGGGATATGTGTGGGTTATAGAGGTAAGGGTAAGGGAGGGTAGGGGGGAGAGGAGAGAGGTGGGGTTGGATTGGATTTGTGTGGGGGGTTGTATAGGTTGGTGGGGATATTGAAGGGAGAGGGGGAAATGAATATAATGTTGTTTAGTTTTGTGTGGTGTGTGAGTGGATGGGGGGAATGTGGTGAGGGGGGGGGGGGTTGGAGGGTGTTGGGATAGTGTATGAGGGGGTGGGTTTTGTAAGGTGTGGGTTCTAGTAATTTGTTGGTATGATTGGGGTTTAATTGGTGTAATATTGGGTGTTATTGTGGGTAATGTGTGTTTGTGTGGTGGGGATTTGTTTGAATGTGGGGTGGGTGGTGTTGGTTTTGGTGGTGGGAATGGTTGTGTAAGGTGGGGTAGTTGTTTGTTTGTTAATGGTTGGGGTTAAATTGGTTTTGGGTTGGTTTTGGGAATGTTGGTGTGGGGTGGGTGTGGTGTGGATTTTGATGGGGGGGGGTGTGGGGAAGGGGGGAAGGGAAAGGGAGGGATGTAGGGGGGGGGGGGGATTGGGAGTTAGTGTGGGTGGGTAAGGAAGGGAATAGGATATAGGGGGGGGTTGATGATATGGAAGATTTGGGTATAGGTGGAAAGGATTGGAAGGAGTATTGAGATAGGAATAAGAATTGTTTGGGAATAATGGGTAAAATATATAGGTGGTGGGGGGGGTGGGGTTATGAGGTGTGGGTTGGGAGGGATGGGTAGAGGGAGTATGAGGATGTTAGGGTGGTGGGGGGGTTGGGGAATTTGGAATTTGGGATAGTTGTGTTGGGGGGTGGTGGTTTTGATTTAGGGGTTTTGGGTGGGGGGTGTTGTTTTTTGGTGGGGTGGGTTGATTGTGTTTTGGGGGGGGGGGGGGGGGTTTGGGTAGTGGATGTTGGGGGGGGTGTTGATTGTGTTTTGGTTAAGTGTGGTTTGGGTGGGGGAAGGGTGTGTGTATTGTGGGGAGATGGTGGTGTGGTTTGGTGTGTAATTTGTGTAATTGTGTGGGGTATGTGGGTGGTGTAAGATGGGTTTGGGGGGGGTTTAATTTGTTAGGGGGGATTTGTGTGGGGGTTTGGTTAAGTGGGTGTGGGGGATAGTGTGTTTATGATTGTGGGTGGGGGGGTATGGGGGAAGGGTAGGGGGTTGTAATGTGGTGGTTGTGGGGGGGTTTGGGGGGTTGGTGGGGGTGTATTTGGGGGTATTGAGGGTTGGGTGGGGTAGGGATAGGGATGGGTAGGGGGGGTGGAGGGTGTTGATGATTTATGGGGATATAGGGGTGGTGGGTGAAGAGTTTGGGGGGGGGGGGGGGGGGGGATAGGGGGGATAATGTAGGGGGGGGTAGGGGGGTGGTAGGATGGGGGGGGGGTAGTTTTGTTTGGGGGGGTGATTTGGGGTGGGATTAGGTTGGGGGGGATGTTTTTTTGGGAAGGGTTATATAGGGGGGGTATTGGGGGGGGGGAATTATGGGGGTGTAGGGGATTGGATGAGTTTATTAGGGGTGGTTAGGGGATGTGTTGAGGGTGGGGGGGGGGTTGGGGGGGTGGGGGGAGTGGGTGGTTGGGTGGAGTAGGGTGGTATTGATGGGGGGGGGGGGGGGGGGGGGTGTATGTGTTGGGTGGGGGGGGATGGGTGTGTAGGTGGGGTGTGGGTTGAGTGTGGGTGGATATTTGGGGGGGGGGTGTGGGGGGGGTGGGGGGGGGGGGGGGGGATGTGGTTGGGGGGGTGGGAGGGGGTGTATATGGGGGGGGGTGTGGGGGGTTGTAGGGTGTTTTTGAGTATTGGGGGGGGGGTGTTGGGGGGGATTGGGGGGGGTGGGGGGTGTGTGGTTTGAGGGGAGTGGGGTAGGGGGGGTTGATGGTGTATGGTGGGGGGTGGTTGTGGTGGGTAAAGTTTAAGTGTGGGGGTGTGGGGTAATGGGGTGTGGGGAGGGGGGGATGGAGGGGGGGTGTGTAGTTGGGGTTGTGAGGTATGGGAAATGGGATAGTGGGTATATGGGGGTAGTGAGGAGGGAAGGGTTGGGGTGGTGGTTTTGGGGGTAGGAATTGGGGTTGTTTGGATTGGGTGTATGTGTTGGAGGGTTGTGGTATGGGGTATTAGTATAGTTGTTGTTGGAGTTAGTGGGGGGGGGTGGGTTGGGGGGGGGGAGGGGTTGAGGTAATGGTGGAGTAAGTTGTTAGTGTGGGGGGTGATGGTTTTTGTAGGGGGGGTTGAAGGAAGGATAGGTGTAGGGAGGGAGGAAGGATAGGGGGTTGGTATGGAGGGGGGATGGGGGGGGAGAGGGGGGGAAAGAGAGATGGGACAGAGAGAGGGAAAAGAGAAAAAGAGGAAAGAGAGAAGAGAGAGGGGGATAAGAGAGAGGAAAAGAAAGGGGAATGAGAGAGAGAGAGGAGAGAAGAGAGTGGAGGAAAGGAGAGGGAGGGAGAGATGAGAGGGGAAAGTGAGGGGAAGAGGGGAGAGAGAGGGAGAGGGATGGGAGAGGTGGAGATACGGTGTAGGGGAAGTAAGTTTATGTGGGTGGTGTGGTTGGGTAGGGGGGTTGTTGGTTGGTGTTGGGGTAGGGGGGGGGGGGGGAGGAAGGTGGGGGGGGGTTTGAGGTGGATGGGTAGAATATGAGGTTGTAAGGGGTGAGTTTTTGGAAGGGGGGTATAGGGGGTTGTTGATTGGATTGTTGGTATGTGAGTTTGAAAGTATATGAGATGAGATAAATGGATTAAGAAGAATAGTTAGGGGGATGGTTGGGAAGGTGGGGAAGAATAAGAGAGAGGGGGGGGGGGGGATATGGGATTAAATATGGGGGGGTGTGGGTTGAGGGTTTAGAGTTTAGAGAGAGTAGATGAGGTGGGGGGAGGAATTGGGGATGGATGTGGTGTATATTGGGTTTATAGATTATGTTAGAGGGGTTTTTATTGTTGTGGTGGGTGGGGTGGGGTGGGAAATAGAGGGTTTGGGGGGGGATTGGGGGGGGGGGTGATAGATGTGAGGGGTGGTGGTGGGGGTATGTTGTGTTGGGTTATTGATTGTGGGATGTTTGGGTTTGTTTTTGAGGGTTGAGGTGGGGATGTTGTTAGGGGGTGGAATGGGGTGGAAGTTGTATTTGTTGGTTGGTTATGTGGGTAAGGGGGGGTTTTGTTTGGGGATGTAGTTGTTGTTTTTTGTGTGGAATTGTTTTAATTGGTGTGTGGGTGTTGTAATTTGTGTTAGTTGTGTTTGTGTAAGTGTTGGGGATGGTGTGTGGTGTATTTTGGGTTGGTGGTTTGTGTGGTAGTTTGTGTTAGGGTGTTGATATATTGTGGAATGTGTGTTTTGGGTAGTGGGTGTGGTTTATGGTGTGTTGTTGTTGATAGTGGGGGGGTGGGTATTGGGTGGTGTATATGGGTGGTGTGGTGTGGGGATTGTGTTGTGGGTTTGTGGGTATTTGGGGGGTTGTGGTTGGTATGTGGGGGGTGTTTGGTTGGAATTGGTTTATTTGGGTGTGTTAGTGGTGGGGGTGGTTGGGTTATGGTGTGGTTTAATTTTGGGTGTGTGATTGGGTGGTGGGTGTAATGTGGTTTAGGTTTTGGTTTTGATGGGGGGGGGATTGGTTGGTGTTGAGAGTGTGGGAGGGGGGGGGTGTTTGGTGTAGTTGTGTGAGTGGGGGGAGGGGGGGGGTATGTGGGTTTGGATAGTGAGGGGGTGGGAAGGGGGGTGGGGGTAGGAGATTTGTGGGAGGTGATGGTTGATTTTATGATAGAGGTTTGTGGTTGTTGGGGGGGTTTTTGTGTTGTTTTAATATAGGGGTTGATATTAAGTAATTGTTAGAGGGGGGTAAAGGATGATTGAGTAGGGGTGTTGGAGGGGGGGGGGGTAGTGGAAGGTTGGTGGGGGGGTGTTTTTGGGGGGGGGGGATAGTGAGTGTGGAGGTGTAAGAAGAGGGAGGAATGGGATGGTGGGGGGGTGTAATTTTGGGGGGTAGGGGGGGTTTTAGGGGGGTGGGTGTGTGTTCGTTTTGTGTTGTGAGAGAGTATTATTATTTGTTAGGGGTGTGGTTTTGTGTGGTGTGGGGAGAGAGAGGGGATATAGGGGGTGGGGTGTTTGTGTGGGGGGGTTAATGTTGGGGGGGTGGATGATATGGAAGGTTGGGGGGTTTTGGGGGGGGGAGGTGGAGTAAGTTGGGGGGTTGTATGTGGGTAGGGAGGGTAGTGTGGTAAAGGGAGAAAGATGAATATTGAAGGGGAGGAGGTGAGGGTTGGGGGGGATTTAGAGATAGGGTGGGGGGGGATAGGGGGTTTGGAAATATTGAGGGGGGGGGATGTAGGGGGGAATATTTGGTGGGGGGGAGTGGGTAGGGGGGGGGTGGATAAGGGTGTGTGTTTGAGGATGGGATATGGAGTTGTTAGTATTTAGGTTGTGGGATTGGTGGGGTTTGTGGGTATGGGGCTGGGGTGTATGTGAGGGGTGTGGGGGGGTGGTTGGTGGGGTGGGGGGTGGTGATTTATGGGGGGGGTGGGGAGGGTGATGGTGAGTGTGTAGAGAGATGAAGGGGAGAGAGAAGAGAGTAGGGGGATGTGTGAGAGATGTGGATGAGATGGGGGGGGAGATGAGTGTGGGGGGATGTGATGGAGGATGGAGAGAGGTGGGAGAGTGATGAGAGTGGTTGAGGAGAGAGATGAGAGAGGAGAGAGGGGTGGGAGATTGGGGGAGAAGTAGAGTGAGAGAGAAGAAGGGGGGGGAGGGAGAGAGGTAGTAATGATGAAGAGGAGTTAGTGAAGAGGATTGGTATAGTAGAGGGGGTGAGAATAAGGGAGGTGGTAGTAGAGTGAGAGAGAGATGTAGTGAGTAGTGGGATTGTTGAGAAGAGGGGGGGAAGAGAGAGGAGGTGGGGGGAAGGGAAGAGTATGGGGAGAGAGGGGGGAGAGAGAGGTGAGAGTGGGGGAGGAATGTGAGGGTTGAGGAGAGGAGTGTAGTAGTGAAAGTAGGGGGTATGAGAGTAGATGAGAAGTGGGGGGGAGAGATGGGGGGAGGAGAGAGGGAGGGGAGAGAGAAGAGTATGTATGTAGGGGGGAGTGTGGGTGGGGTTGGGGGGGGTTTAGGTGGGGGTGGGGGGGGGAGATGGTTAAGGAGGAGAAGAACCACAAAACCCCACATCATTCCCTCCCCTCTCTATCCTACACAGAACGCTTAGAGCCTCATATAAAAGATCTGCTCTTGTTTTAGACGACCCTGCCTCAAGAGACAGCAACACAGCCGCTGAGTCTGAGCAGACAACCACACTCTCTAGTCTCAATCGCTCAACCCATTTAAGGGCCCACACTATTGCCATCAATTCGGCTGTAAAAACTCCAATTCCATCTGGGAGTCGTCTGCCCTGACTCAGGGCCAATGTTGGGCTGTGTACCCCAAACCCTGCTCTCCTTCTCTGAGGGTCGACCGACCCATCCGTATACACCTGCAGGGCACTGTTCCAGTTGGTCACCAATACCTCCCTCACAATCTCTTGGGCACACACTCTTCCCCTTTCTTTAAGGCCCTCTTTAACGGACCAGTCCACCTCCACCTGAGGAAGCAGCCAGGGCGGGACTGAGGGCCAGACAACCACCGGAGCCGTGTTCCTCTGCCTGAGCTCTGGAATCTCATCCTTTACCTCATAAATAAACGTTCTCCCCCCCCTTCCTCCTGTCTCCCATGTATCCTCCATCACCCTCCTAGCAGGATGCTCTTCACGTTGGCCTTGTGATTTTGCCACAAACTGGAGGGCCAGTTTTAACCGCCTCTTCTCAAGGGACATCTCCCCTACCTCAACCAGGAGAGCTGGTACTGATGTTGTTCGAAAGGCACCACAGCACACTCTTAGGGCCTTGGCTTGAACCACATCCAAGGTCGGGGTTGCCAGGTCGGGGTTGCCAGGTCCTTCTTCTTCTTCTTCTTCTTCTCTGACTGCTTAACGGCGGATGCGAACTGACTTAGCGCACTACCGCCACCCTCCAGATAGATTGCGTCTGATCAGCCATATGGCTCACATCCTTTATAAAAACCTGTAGCCTGCAAGCTACAGAGAAAAACAAAATAACACAAAAAATAAAAAACTACACTCTATCCATGAGTCCGGTTCTTTAGAAAGTCCAACAAACACTTTATTACCCTATGATCTGAGGCTTTAGAAAAAATATCTCTAAAGTTAAACCTTTCCCCACAGTCTTCTATCTTTAATTACAGCCTTTCTCTATTAAACTTCTACACATCACGACATGTTCCACTGTGTCCGGCACATTACACATCTCACAGTTTACACAATTATGTTTTTCTATTAAATGTAATGTTTTGTTCAATCCGGTGTGTCCTATTCTCTTCTCTTCTCTTCGACACCTTCCTACCCGGCGACACCTTCCTACCCGGCGACACCTTCCTACCCGGCGACACCTTCCTACCCGGCGACACCTTCCTACCCGGCGACACCTTCCTACCCGGCGACACCTTCCTACACGGCGACACCTTCCTACCCGGCGACACCTTCCTACACGGCGACACCTTCCTACCCGGCGACACCTTCCTACCCGGCGACACCTTCCTACCCGGCGACACCTTCCTACCCGGCGACACCTTCCTACACGGCGACACCTTCCTACACGGCGACACCTTCCTACCCGGCGACACCTTTCTACACGGCGACACCTTCCTACCCGGCGACACCTTCCTACCCGGCGACACCTTCCTACCCGGCGACACCTTCCTACACGGCGACACCTTCCTACACGGCGACACCTTCCTACCCGGCGACACCTTTCTACACGGCGACACCTTCCTACCCGGCGACACCTTTCTACACGGCGACACCTTCCTACCCGGCGACACCTTCCTACCCGGCGACACCTTCCTACCCGGCGACACCTTTCTACACGGCGACACCTTTCTACACGGCGACACCTTCCTACCCGGCGACACCTTTCTACACGGCGACACCTTCCTACCCGGCGACACCTTTCTACACGGCGACACCTTTCTACACGGCGACACCTTCCTACCCGGCGACACCTTTCTACACGGCGACACCTTCCTACCCGGCGACACCTTCCTACCCGGCGACACCTTCCTACCCGGCGACACCTTCCTAACCGGGGACACCTTCCTACCCGGCAACACCTTCCTACCCGACACCTTCCTACCCGGCGACCTTGACCAACTTCTGAATGTATACTATAATACCCACTCCCTTTATCTCCACTATCACATTTATCTTTCCACATGTTCTTTACATGTTTTTTAATCACAGACTTAAACTTTACACTGAACACACACATCCACCGCTTTCAGAGCCTGTTTAGATCATTACAAACCTACATGAACCTACATGAACCTACATGAACCTACATGAGCCTACATGAACCTACATGAACCTACATGAGCCTACATGAACCTACATGAACCTACATGAACCTACATGAGCCTACATGAACCTACATGAACCTACATGAACCTACATGAACCTACATGAACCTACATGAGCCTACATGAACCTACATGAACCTACATGAACCTACATGAACCTACATGAACCTACATGAGCCTACATGAACCTACATGAGCCTACATGAACCTACATGAACCTACATGAACCTACATGAACCTACATGAACCAAACCTACATGAACCTACATGAACCTACATGAACCTACATGAGCCTACATGAGCCTACATGAGCCTACATGAACCTACATGAGCCTACATGAACCTACATGAACCTACATGAGCCTACATGAACCTACATGAGCCTACATGAACCTACATGAACCTACATGAACCTACATGAGCCTACATGAACCTACATGAACCTACATGAACCTACATAAACCTACATGAACCTACATGAACCTACATGAGCCTACATGAGCCTACATGAACCTACATGAACCTACATGAACCTACATGAGCCTACATGAACCTACATGAACCTACATGAGCCTACATGAACCTACATGAGCCTACATGAGCCTACATGAACCTACATGAACCTACATGAACCTACATGAACCTACATGAGCCTACATGAACCTACATGAACCTACATGAACCTACATGAGCCTACATGAGCCTACATGAGCCTACATGAGCCTACATGAACCTACATGAGCCTACATGAACCTACATGAACCTACATGAACCTACATGAACCTACATGAACCTACATGAGCCTACATGAACCTACATGAGCCTACATGAACCTACATGAACCTACATGAGCCTACATGAACCTACATGAACCTACATGAACCTACATGAACCTACATGAGCCTACATGAACCTACATGAGCCTACATGAACCTACATGAACCTACATGAGCCTACATGAACCTACATGAACCTACATGAGCCTACATGAGCCTACATGAACCTACATGAACCTACATGAGCCTACATGAACCTACATGAGCCTACATGAACCTACATGAGCCTACATGAACCTACATGAACCTACATGAGCCTACATGAACCTACATGAACCTACATGAGCCTACATGAACCTACATGAACCTACATGAACCTACATGAACCAGAACCCACACAAACTTCACATGCGTCCCCCCATTTAGAATACTGTGAAGCAACGTCAACACACACAACGTCAACACACACAACGTCAACACACACAACGTCAACACACACAACGTCAACACCTCCTACACAACGTCAACACCTCCCACACAACATCAACACCTCCCACACAACATCAACACACACAACATCAACACCTCCTACACAACATCAACACACACAACATCAACACCTCCTACACAACATCAACACACACAACGTCAACACACACAACATCAACACCTCCTACACAACATCAACACCTCCCACACAACATCAACACACACAACATCAACACCTCCTACACAACATCAACACACACAACATCAACACCTCCTACACAACATCAACACACACAACATCAACACCTCCCACACAACATCAACACACACAACATCAACACCTCCTACACAACATCAACACACACAACATCAACACCTCCCACACAACATCAACACACACAACATCAACACCTCCCACACAACATCAACACACACAACATCAACACCTCCTACACAACATCAACACACACAACATCAACACACACAACATCAACACACACAACATCAACACACACAACATCAACACCTCCCACACAACATCAACACACACAACATCAACACTTCCCACACAACATCAACACACACAACATCAACACACACAACATCAACACACACAACATCAACACCTCCCACACAACATCAACACACACAACGTCAACACACACAACATCAACACACACAACATCAACACACAACATCAACACCTCCCACACAACATCAACACACACAACATCAACACACACAACATCAACACCTCCCACACAACATCAACACACACAACATCAACACACACAACGTCAACACACACAACATCAACACCTCCCACACAACATCAACACACACAACATCAACACACACAACATCAACACACACAACGTCAACACACACAACATCAACACACACAACATCAACACCTCCCACACAACATCAACACACACAACATCAACACACACAACATCAACACCTCCTACACAACATCAACACACACAACATCAACACACACAACGTCAACACCTCCCACACAACATCAACACACACAACGTCAACACCTCCCACACAACATCAACACACACAACATCAACACACACAACATCAACACACACAACATCAACACCTGCCACACAACATCAACACACACAACATCAACACACACAACATCAACACACACAACATCAACACACACAACGTCAACACCTCCCACACAACATCAACACACACAACATCAACACACACAACATCAACACACACAACATCAACACACACAACATCAACACACACAACGTCAACACCTCCCACACAACATCAACACACACAACATCAACACACACAACGTCAACACCTCCCACACAACGTCAACACACACAACATCAACACCTCCCACACAACATCAACACACACAACGTCAACACCTCCCACACAACATCAACACACACAACATCAACACACACAACATCAACACACAACATCAACACACACAACATCAACACCTCCCACACAACATCAACACACACAACATCAACACACACAACATCAACACACACAACATCAACACACACAACATCAACACACACAACATCAACACACACACAACATCAACACACACAACATCAACACACACAACATCAACACACACAACATCAACACACAACATCAACACACACAACATCAACACCTCCCACACAACATCAACACACACAACATCAACACACACAAACATCAACACACACAACATCAACACACACAACATCAACACACACAACATCAACACACACAACATCAACACCTCCCACACAACATCAACACACACAACATCAACACACACAACATCAACACACACAACATCAACACACACAACATCAACACCTCCCACACAACATCAACACACACAACATCAACACACACAACATCAACACACACAACATCAACACACACAACATCAACACACACAACATCAACACACACAACATCAACACACACAACATCAACACACACAACATCAACACACACAACATCAACACCTCCCACACAACATCAACACACACAACATCAACACACACAACATCAACACACACAACATCAACACACACAACATCAACACACACAACATCAACACACACAACATCAACACACACAACATCAACACACACAACATCAACACACACAACGTCAGACCTTTCACTTGAGTTTCCTAATTTAAAATGTTCTAATTTAAAATGTTCTAATTTAAAATGTTCTAAGGCTGACAGTGAGTCTGAACATATAACTGTCTCAATGGTTTAGTTTGCTCCACCCAACTCTGCCACATACTCTGGTACCACATACTCTGGTACCACATACTCTGGTACCCCATACTCTGGTACCACATACTCTGGTACCACATACTCTGGTGACACATACTCTGGTGACACATACTCTGGTACCACATACTCTGGTACCACATACTCTGGTGACACATACTCTGGTACCACATACTCTGGTACCACATACTCTGGTGACACATACTCTGGTACCACATACTCTGGTACCACATACTCTGGTGACACATACTCTGGTGACACATACTCTGGTACCACATACTCTGGTACCACATACTCTGGTGACACATACTCTGGTACCACATACTCTGGTACCACATACTCTGGTACCACATACTCTGGTGACACATACTCTGGTACCACATACTCTGGTACCGCATACTCTGGTACCGCATACTCTGGTACCCCATACTCTGGTACCACATACTCTGGTGACACATACTCTGGTACCACATACTCTGGTACCACATACTCTGGTACCACATACTCTGGTACCACATACTCTGGTGACACATACTCTGGTACCACATACTCTGGTACCACATACTCTGGTGACCACATACTCTGGTACCACATACTCTGGTACCACATACTCTGGTGACACATACTCTGGTACCACATACTCTGGTACCACATACTCTGGTACCACATACTCTGGTACCCCATACTCTGGTACCACATACTCTGGTGACACATACTCTGGTACCACATACTCTGGTACCACATACTCTGGTACCACATACTCTGGTGCCACATACTCTGGTACCACATACTCTGGTGCCACATACTCTGGTGCCACATACTCTGGTACCACATACTCTGGTACCACATACTCTGGTACCACATACTCTGGTGCCACATACTCTGGTACCACATACTCTGGTGCCACATACTCTGGTGCCACATACTCTGGTGCCACATACTCTGGTACCACATACTCTGGTACCACATACTCTGGTACCACATACTCTGGTACCACATACTCTGGTGCCACATACTCTGGTGCCACATACTCTGGTACCACATACTCTGGTACCACATACTCTGGTGCCACATACTCTGGTACCACATACTCTGGTGCCACATACTCTGGTACCACATACTCTGGTGCCACATACTCTGGTGCCACATACTCTGGTACCACATACTCTGGTACCACATACTCTGGTACCACATACTCTGGTGCCACATACTCTGGTACCACATACTCTGGTGCCACATACTCTGGTACCACATACTCTGGTGCCACATACTCTGGTACCACATACTCTGGTACCACATACTCTGGTACCACATGCTCTGGTACCACATGCTCTGGTGCCACATACTCTGGTACCACATACTCTGGTGCCACATACTCTGGTACCACATACTCTGGTGCCACATACTCTGGTGCCACATACTCTGGTACCACATGCTCTGGTACCACATGCTCTGGTGCCACATACTCTGGTACCACATACTCTGGTGCCACATACTCTGGTACCACATACTCTGGTACCACATACTCTGGTACCACATACTCTGGTGCCACATACTCTGGTACCACCTACTCTGGTACCACATACTCTGGTGCCACATACTCTGGTACCCCATACTCTGGTACCACATACTCTGGTACCACATACTCTGGTGCCACATACTCTGGTACCACCTACTCTGGTACCACATACTCTGGTGCCACATACTCTGGTACCACATACTCTGGTGCCACATACTCTGGTACCACCTACTCTGGTACCACATACTCTGGTACCACATACTCTGGTACCACCTACTCTGGTACCACATACTCTGGTACCACATACTCTGGTGCCACATACTCTGGTACCACATACTCTGGTACCACATACTCTGGTACCACATACTCTGGTACCACATACTGCCACTTTCCCTGTCTCTGGTTGCTTTGATCCATCAGTAAAGATTTGAACATACCCATATAACATAGATATATAACATATATATATATATACACATATATATGTGTTATCCACATGCCCCATTGCTAACTGCCCAATATCCCCCTTATACTTTTTAATCCATGCAGAGTTGTATGAATGTCTGGACCCGGCAGCAGCCATGGTGGGTGCGGTGGGTAAACTGCTCGCTTCACTTTCCCATGTATACTTGCACTAAACGACTCCCTTTAAGGACACTTTTAGCTGGATGATCCTCCATATGTCCTTCAACCTCCAACGCTGATACAGGAGAGGTCCTCATGGCTCCTGAACACATCCTGAGGCCGACCCCTGAACAACATCAAGCTTCCGTAATTCAGACTTTGCAGCCGACCCAAACGCCACACATCCAAAGTCCACACTAGACCTGATTAATCCAACATATAATCTTTTCATTCAAGTCATATCTGCTCCCCACACCTAATTATGTTAATGACTTTTTTACATTTGTCGACCACCTTTCCAATATGATTATGCCAGGTAAGCTTAGAGTCAAAATGCATCCCTAAGAATCTCACACAGTTTACTCTTTCCAAATCCCTACCATACAACAAGTTTAACCCTTTCATCAACTTTTTTAAAGAGAAAAACACTACCTTGGTTTTCTCAACAGAGAACCTGAATCCCCATTTTCCCGCCCAGTCTTCAACAGAGTTGACAGATTTTTGCAAACTTTTAACACTGAATTTAACATTTTTACCCCCTTTCCAGAGAGCCCCGTCATCTGCAAATAGTGATTTTCCTATACTATAATATAATATATAACTGTAATAATATATAACTGTGATCAAGCGTATCAAATATACCATTTATCATAATAGAGAACAGAATCGGTGAAATAACACTACCTTGGGGTACACCATTTTCCACGGCTACACAATCCAGAGAGAGAGAGACCAGAGAGAGACCAGAGAGAGAGACCAGAGAGAGAGACCAGAGAGAGACCAGAGAGGGACCAGAGAGAGACCAGAGAGAGACCAGAGAGAGAGACCAGAGAGAGACCAGAGAGAGAGACCAGAGAGGGACCAGAGAGAGACCAGAGAGAGACCAGAGAGAGACCAGAGAGAGAGACCAGAGAGGGACCAGAGAGAGAGACCAGAGAGGGACCAGAGAGAGAGACCAGAGAGGGACCAGAGAGAGACCAGAGAGAGACCAGAGAGAGAGAGACCAGAGAGAGAGACCAGAGAGAGAGACCAGAGAGAGACCAGAGAGGGACCAGAGAGAGACCAGAGAGAGACCAGAGAGAGAGACCAGAGAGAGAGACCAGAGAGGGACCAGAGAGAGAGACCAGAGAGGGACCAGAGAGAGAGACCAGAGAGAGAGACCAGAGAGGGACCAGAGAGAGAGACCAGAGAGGGACCAGAGAGAGAGACCAGAGAGGGACCAGAGAGAGAGACCAGAGAGGGACCAGAGAGAGACCAGAGAGAGACCAGAGAGAGAGAAACCAGAGAGAGAGACCAGAGAGAGACCAGAGGGAGACCAGAGATAGACCAGAGGGAGACCAGAGAGAGAGAGACCAGAGAGAGAGACCAGAGAGAGAAACCAGAGAGGGACCAGAGAGAGACCAGAGAGAGACCAGAGAGAGAGAGACCAGAGAGAGAGAGACCAGAGAGAGACCAGAGGGAGACCAGAGAGAGAGAGACCAGAGAGAGAGACCAGAGAGAGACCGGAGAGAGAGACCAGAGAGAGACCAGAGAGAGAGAGACCAGAGAGAGACCAGAGAGAGAGAGACCAGAGAGAGAGAGACCAGAGAGAGACCAGAGAGAGAGAGACCAGAGAGAGAGACCAGAGAGAGACCAGAGGGAGACCAGAGATAGACCAGAGGGAGACCAGAGAGAGAGAGACCAGAGAGAGAGACCAGAGAGAGACCGGAGAGAGAGACCAGAGAGAGACCAGAGAGAGAGAGACCAGAGAGAGACCAGAGAGAGAGAGACCAGAGAGAGAGAGACCAGAGAGAGACCAGAGAGAGAGAGACCAGAGAGAGAGAGACCAGAGAGAGAGACCAGAGAGAGACCGGAGAGAGAGACCAGAGAGAGACCAGAGAGAGAGAGACCAGAGAGAGACCAGAGAGAGAGAGACCAGAGAGAGAGAGACCAGAGAGAGAGAGACCAGAGAGAGACCAGAGAGAGAGACCAGAGAGAGAGACCAGAGAGAGACCAGAGAGGGACCAGAGAGAGACCAGAGAGGGACCAGAGAGAGAGACCAGAGAGAGACCAGAGAGAGAGACCAGAGAGGGACCAGAGAGAGACCAGAGAGAGACCAGAGAGAGACCAGAGAGAGAGACCAGAGAGGGACCAGAGAGAGAGACCAGAGAGGGACCAGAGAGAGAGACCAGAGAGGGACCAGAGAGAGACCAGAGAGAGACCAGAGAGAGAGAGACCAGAGAGAGAGACCAGAGAGAGAGACCAGAGAGAGACCAGAGAGGGACCAGAGAGAGACCAGAGAGAGACCAGAGAGAGAGACCAGAGAGAGAGACCAGAGAGGGACCAGAGAGAGAGACCAGAGAGGGACCAGAGAGAGAGACCAGAGAGAGAGACCAGAGAGGGACCAGAGAGAGAGACCAGAGAGGGACCAGAGAGAGAGACCAGAGAGGGACCAGAAAGAGAGACCAGAGAGGGACCAGAGAGAGACCAGAGAGAGACCAGAGAGAGAGAGACCAGAGAGAGAGACCAGAGAGAGACCAGAGGGAGACCAGAGATAGACCAGAGGGAGACCAGAGAGAGAGAGACCAGAGAGAGAGACCAGAGAGAGAGACCAGAGAGGGACCAGAGAGAGACCAGAGAGAGACCAGAGAGAGAGAGACCAGAGAGAGAGAGACCAGAGAGAGACCAGAGGGAGACCAGAGATAGACCAGAGGGAGACCAGAGAGAGAGAGACCAGAGAGAGAGACCAGAGAGAGACCGGAGAGAGAGACCAGAGAGAGACCAGAGAGAGAGAGACCAGAGAGAGACCAGAGAGAGAGAGACCAGAGAGAGAGAGACCAGAGAGAGACCAGAGAGAGAGAGACCAGAGAGAGAGAGACCAGAGAGAGAGACCAGAGAGAGAGAGACCAGAGAGAGAGACCAGAGAGAGACCAGAGGGAGACCAGAGATAGACCAGAGGGAGACCAGAGAGAGAGAGACCAGAGAGAGAGACCAGAGAGAGACCGGAGAGAGAGACCAGAGAGAGACCAGAGAGAGAGAGACCAGAGAGAGACCAGAGAGAGAGAGACCAGAGAGAGAGAGACCAGAGAGAGACCAGAGAGAGAGAGACCAGAGAGAGAGAGACCAGAGAGAGAGACCAGAGAGAGACCGGAGAGAGAGACCAGAGAGAGACCAGAGAGAGAGAGACTAGAGAGAGACCAGAGAGAGAGAGACCAGAGAGAGAGAGAGACCAGAGAGAGACCAGAGAGAGAGAGACCAGAGAGAGACCAGAGAGAGAGACCAGAGAGAGACCAGAGAGAGAGAGACCAGAGAGAGACCAGAGAGAGACCAGAGAGAGAGAGACCAGAGAGAGACCAGAGAGAGACCAGAGAGAGACCAGAGAGAGACCAGAGAGAGAGACCAGAGAGAGACCAGAGAGAGAGACCAGAGAGAGACCAGAGAGAGACCAGAGAGAGACCAGAGAGAGACCAGAGAGAGACCAGAGAGAGAGACCAGAGAGAGACCAGAGAGAGAGACCAGAGAGAGACCAGAGAGAGACCAGAGAGAGACCAGAGATAGACCAGAGAGAGAGACCAGAGAGAGACCAGAGAGAGACCAGAGAGAGACCAGAGAGAGACCAGAGAGAGACCAGAGAGAGACCAGAGGGAGAGACCAGAGAGAGAGACCAGTGGGAGAGACACTCAGAAAATGTGAGACAGGCTTCTTGTCTTGATGATTGTGGGTTAGGGTCAAGGGTTAACCTGTGTGTTTTCTCCAGCACTTTGAGCTAACCCTGTGTATGAACTGTGCCATATGAATAAACTTGCCCTGCCTGAAGCTCGTCCTCTGATTGGCTCAACAGGTTGATAAACAGTTAGCATTAGCCGGAGACATTACGTCCTGTTTAAACTAATGTGATGAGATAATAGTATACAGTAGATAGTAATCTAATAACAGGCAGTAACACCTCAGAGCAGAGTAATCTAATAACAGGCAGTAACACCTCAGAGCAGAGTAATCTAATAACAGACAGTAACACCTCAGAGCAGAGTAATCTAATAACAGGCAGTAACACCTCAGAGCAGAGTAATCTAATAACAGGCAATAACACCTCAGAGCAGAGTAATCTAATAACAGACAATAACACCTCAGAGCAGAGTAATCTAATAACAGGCAGTAACACCTCAGAGCAGAGTAATCTAATAACAGGCAATAACACCCTCAGAGCAGAGTAATCTAATAACAGGCAATAACACCTCAGAGCAGAGTAATCTAATAACAGGCAGTAACACCTCAGAGCAGAGTAATCTAATAACAGGCAGTAACACCTCAGAGCAGAGTAATCTAATAACAGGCAGTAACACCTCAGAGCAGAGTAATCTAATAACAGGCAGTAACACCTCAGAGCAGAGTAATCTAATAACAGGCAGTAACACCTCAGAGCAGAGTAATCTAATAACAGGCAGTAACACCTCAGAGCAGAGTAATCTAATAACAGGCAGTAACACCTCAGAGCAGAGTAATCTAATAACAGGCAGTAACACCTCAGAGCAGAGTAATCTAATAACAGGCAATAACACCTCAGAGCAGAGTAATCTAATAACAGGCAATAACACCTCAGAGCAGAGTAATCTAATAACAGGCAGTAACACCTCAGAGCAGAGTAATCTAATAACAGACAATAACACCTCAGAGCAGAGTAATCTAATAACAGGCAGTAACACCTCAGAGCAGAGTAATCTAATAACAGGCAATAACACCTCAGAGCAGAGTAATCTAATAACAGACAATAACACCTCAGAGCAGAGTAATCTAATAACAGACAATAACACCTCAGAGCAGAGTAATCTAATAACAGGCAGTAACACCTCAGAGCAGAGTAATCTAATAACAGGCAATAACACCTCAGAGCAGAGTAATCTAATAACAGGCAATAACACCTCAGAGCAGAGTAATCTAATAACAGGCAATAACACCTCAGAGCAGAGTAATCTAATAACAGGCAGTAACACCTCAGAGCAGAGTAATCTAATAACAGACAGTAACACCTCAGAGCAGAGTAATCTAATAACAGGCAGTAACACCTCAGAGCAGAGTAATCTAATAACAGGCAGTAACACCTCAGAGCAGAGTAATCTAATAACAGGCAATAACACCTCAGAGCAGAGTAATCTAATAACAGACAATAACACCTCAGAGCAGAGTAATCTAATAACAGGCAGTAACACCTCAGAGCAGAGTAATCTAATAACAGGCAGTAACACCTCAGAGCAGAGTAATCTAATAACAGGCAGTAACACCTCAGAGCAGAGTAATCTAATAACAGGCAGTAACACCTCAGAGCAGAGTAATCTAATAACAGGCAGTAACACCTCAGAGCAGAGTAATCTAATAACAGACAATAACACCTCAGAGCAGAGTAATCTAATAACAGGCAGTAACACCTCAGAGCAGAGTAATCTAATAACAGGCAGTAACACCTCAGAGCAGAGTAATCTAATAACAGGCAGTAACACCTCAGAGCAGAGTAATCTAATAACAGGCAGTAACACCTCAGAGCAGAGTAATCTAATAACAGACAGTAACACCTCAGAGCAGAGTAATCTAATAACAGGCAGTAACACCTCAGAGCAGAGTAATCTAATAACAGGCAGTAACACCTCAGAGCAGAGTAATCTAATAACAGGCAGTAACACCTCAGAGCAGAGTAATCTAATAACAGGCAGTAACACCTCAGAGCA